CTTTGTGACCCTTCTGCCTGCAGGAGTACATGCAGTGTGTCACTGCTGTGGATGGAGAGTGGTTGGCGGAGCTGGGCCCCATGTTCTACAGCGTCAAACAGGCAGGAAAGTCTCGGCAGGTAAGCATCCCACGCTCGCCACGGAGGTTCTGTTTGCCTGTGGGACCCATTTTTCGCACAGCCCGGGATTGAAGACACGTCCTCACCTGACCCCTGTCCTCCTTACTTCTCTCTCAAACATAAAAGCTGTGATGGAGCCAGGTTGGTATGGTAGATTTTCGCCCATTTGCTCCAGTTGCTTGGTTGGATGAGCCTTTTAAAAAAAACCTTATTATTGAAAAGTCCAAATATTCGTAGAAGTATAAAAAACAGTATAGGGAGCCGTCATGTATTCCTTACCGAATCTCCATAATGTTCAACATGTTGGTCAGACTTATTTGGCTTATTCCTCCTCTTCTCCATACGCTAATTTTTTTTCTTAGAAAAAATTTTAAAGCCTCTCTCTGACACTTTATTTCACCAATAAATACTTGAGTAAACATCTCTAAAAAGACTGGTTTTTAAAATGTAACCTTTTTGCCATTATCACTCAACAGAATTAATCCTTAATGTCTTCCAGTCCTTATTCATATTTTGTCATTTGTTTCAAAGATAAACTCGTATGATTTGATTTGCTCGAATCAGAATCTGAATGTTACAGTTAGTTGGTATATGTGTAAGTGTTATGTTCTAGAATGTGCTCTGTTCTCATTCTTTATTATGGCATTGATTACTCGGAGAGACTAGGTCACTTGTAGAATATTCCATTTTCTGTATTTGGCCGATTGCTTTTCGTGATGGCGTTTAACTTGTGCCTCTGTCCCATGTTCTTTCTGTAAACTAGTAATTAATCCAAAAGCCTGATAAGATTCAGGTCCAGCTGTGTTTGGCAAAGATGCACAAATGCGTGCAGTGCCGTGAACTTCCTTTTAGATCCTATCAGGAAGCACGTAAGGGCTGGTGGCCCCACTTTTGGGGATGCTGAGAGTGGTCAGTGGTTCTGCCTGATCCCTCCAGGATAGATTGTCTCCCTGCCACTCCACCTCCTCATGGTCTTCGCGTACGTGGATGGCTGCTGCCTCGAGCTGTCCTTCAGGGCTTCAGACTGTGGGGGGGCTTTCCTTCTTCTCTTGTCTGTACTGTCCACACTGGGTCTGTGCACACCTTCCTTATGTCTGTTCTTCCCAGCCAGCTGATCGTGTCTTCCCTATTTCTTGTACTTCCTGGCATTACTGTGAACTTGGTAAGAGAGTGAAAGTACTTATGGAATTGAGTGGAGAGCGGAGACACGATAGGGTTAGGACTGAATCGTGTCGTGTCTGTCTTGAATCAACGAACTGGCCTCAAAAGAATAGATGGCCTTGGTGTTGGGGCAGGGAGCCACGTGGCCCTGCCTCTGGGAGCTGGCACTGTGTACACGGCACCTGGCTTGTGGTGGGGAGATGGGTGGGACAAGGCTCTCCACCTGCTGGTGGTGGTCCCCAGTACCTCGCCCTCCCTTTTCTAGGAGAACCGCCGACGGGCCAAAGAGGAAGCCTCTGCCATGGAAGAGGAGATGGCACTGGCTGAGGAGCAGCTGCGAGCCCGCCGGCAGGAGCAAGAAAAGCGCAGCCCTCTGGGCAGTGTCAGGTGGGCTGCGGCCTCGGGACCCTGGCTGGGATGGTGCCTGCCCCTGAGAGGCTCTGGGGAGCAGCCCGATAGACTGAGCAGGTCCCCATGCAGGCCGGTGATCTAAAATTTGAGTGTGTGGAGCTGAGCTGGTCACAGAAGTTGACTGGTTCCATGGAGGCATGGGAGGAGTTCCAGACATACTCTCAAGGGGCAGTGATACATCTGCAGCTCCTGGTCATTGTCATGTTGTACTGAGGCCTGCGGTGGGCTGGAGAAGTAGGCAGGGCTTATAGCTCTACCGACAGGCTAGGGCTTGGAAATCACGTGGAGACGGGAGGAGAGTCTTGGGCTTCTGTGTCTGCTGGTGCCTGGAGTCAGGTCAGACTTCACAGGTGAAGGGCACAGTTCTCCACAAGACTGCCTTCACTTCAGGGGCACCTGGGTGGCTCAGCCAGTCAAGTGTCCAACTGGAGCTTGGGTCGTGATCTCACACTCTGTGAGCTCAAGCCCCGTGTCAGGCTCTGTGCTGACAGTTTGGAGCCTGGAACCTGCTTCAGATTCTGTGTCTCCTCTCTCTCTGCCCCTCCCCTGCTCACGCTCTGTCTCTCTCTGAAAACAAAACAAAACAAAACAAAACAAAACAAAACAAAACAAAAAAAAAACCTGCCTTTACTTCAGACACCAGCTATAACTTGGGGTGTGCTAAAGATCCCTCTCACTTCTGACCACCTTGCTACATATTTGGGGATCTGCATGGACTCCCCCGCCATTTGATAACTTGCTAGAATAAGTTGCTAGAATAAGTTGCTAGAATAACTCACAGAACCCAGGAAAGTACTGTGTTTGAGATTACAATTTTATTATAGCCAAAGGTTACAAATTAGCACCAAGGGAGAGATGCATAGAGTGAGGTCTGGGATGGTCCCAAATGAGAAGCTTCCATTGTCCTCGGGGCTGCATTACCCTCCTGGCCCATTGGTGTGTGATAGTATGCACAGAGCATTGCTAGCCAGGGAAGCTTCAGCGTCCAGAGCTTTATTGGGGTTTCATTACATAGTCACGAATGGTTGAGTATGTATCCATGTGATTGACTCAGTCTCCAGCTTCCTTTCCATAGAGGCTGAGCTGATATCATGAGTCTCAAAGTATAGCCTTCTGGTCATGTACTTGGTTTTTCTTTAAAAAAAAATTTTTTTTTAACGTTTATTTATTTTTGAGACAGAGAGAGACAGAGCATGAACGGGGGAGGGTCAGAGAGAGGGAGACACAGAATCCGAAACAGGCTCCAGGCTCTGAGCTGTCAGCACAGAGACCGACGCGGGGCTCGAACCCACGGACCGCAAGATCATGACCTGAGCCGAAGTCGGCCACTTAACCGACTGAGCCACCCAGGCGCCCCACGTACTTGGTCTTTCTAGCTGGGCCAGCCCTTATCCTGAGTCCTCTTGTTAGGATAAACTATCAGATGTTACCATGTGTAACAGAGACACTCAATCCCTCTGGAAATCTCGAGGTTTTAGAGATGACCTCCCAGGACTGGGGACTAGGGCCAGCCAGATTCTTTATTAGAAGGTGGAGTGGCCGTCTGGTGAGGTGGCTGGAAGACTGCTTCCATAGCTCACCTGGGAGGCATGAAAGGAATTGTTAAAAAATTTAGCTGCCAACAGTCCTTGGTGGGTATCAGAGTCAGGTGGTGCTGTTACTCTGCTCCCCATCACAAACGGGGATGGCAGCAGGGGGGAAATGTGCTGGGGGAGAAGACCGTTCAGCCCCAAAGCCTGCTCACACACAGAAAGAGCAAGGCCTCAGGCTCCTTGCTGTGCTGCGCATCCTGGTTGGCGTGAGTAGCAGTGTGATTCCTCACCCCTCTTTCCGTGTCTCCAGGTCTACAAAAATCTACACTCCAGGTCGGAAGGAGCAAGGGGAACCCATGACCCCTCGCCGCACGCCAGCCCGCTTTGGGCTCTGAGCCGAGGCTCTCCCTGCAGAGGATGCAGCGTGTGTTGAGTCCTGAGCCCTGTGGCCAGAGCATCTGGGGCCTGCCAACAAAACCCTTTCATCTGCGCACTTTCGTCTGTGTACATCACAGCCCCCGGGGAAGCTCCTGCAGGGGCCAGCTCTACAACAGAGGGAGTGGCAGTTCCTTGGTGCAGGGGTGCAGGTCAGGGTGCGGAGCAGCGAGAGCTGCCAGGGCAGTGAGAGCTGGCCAGACCCACTGTGTCCAAATAAACCATTCCTGGGATGCTTGGTGTATAAATGACTTGGCCGTAACTATGGTTTTTTTAAATTCTGTGTAAAGCAGCAAAATAGACCTACAGGGACTTGTAATTTGGTTATAATTCAGGATTTGGAAATAAATTTATTGTTTGTAAAATGTTACTGCATTTTGGACTGTTCCTTTTTCCCTCGCTGCCCTAAATTACATAATGATAGAAGATGGGCAAGACGCCGACTTGACTTTCTTTAGGTGGCTCCTTCTAAAATCTCACCTCACCTTATTTCTGTTCTCCAGGCAGTCCTCTTAGAAGAGGGTTGGCAGGGTGGGACACAGCTGGCAGGGACAGATAATGGCCTGGGGCACTAGGCGGGCCAAACTCTGAGGGCGCCTCACTGTTCCCAAGGCTGGTGGGCAGGACAAGGCTGGCCAACGGCCAAGTGGGAGGGAGGTGAGTAGCCATGCGCCCTCTTCCCTTCCCCAGGTGTGGGTTGGCTGCTCTCTTGCTCAGAATGGCAGAAGTTTGCTCTGCGTGTGTAAGGGTGCTGTATTGGCAAAACTAGTGTAACATACTGCTTCTTGATTTTTGTGTAAAGGATGATCCTTGCACTGAAATCACTAAGCTTTTCTCTTGTTAAGCAGCCTGTATCTGCTGAGGTGGCTCTTTGGGTATTTGGTCCTTTGCATCACGCACGGTCTTTATTTTGTGATCCCCTGGGGTTGGGCTTCTGCTGGGTGTGCTGGTTGCAAGGTTCTGTGTCAGGGCTGAATCACTGCTGGGGTTGGCTTGGGGCTCAGAAGCACCTTGATCCCAGGCCAGCACTCAGCTCCAGCCCCTTGGGCCATGCTGCTATTACTTCTATTCCCTTTCTCACTTTGTTCCTGGGATGTGAATTTAAAACTTAAGTCAATTTTACAGATGAATTTGGAAGCTTGGCTTTGCCAGCCAGCACCAGCTACCACCTCCACTTCCATTCTTTTTACCTCTAACTGCCTTTATTGGGAATTCAGGTAGAAACGGATTTTTCATGGCTCTGGAGTGAAGAAAGGGCTTCTGGCTGCCCCTCTGGGAAGGCTTCTAATCATGGCACTGAGGTGAAGGGCTAGCAGAAGGTGTCTACCTGCTCTGTGGAAAGAAGTAAGCTGGGTATGTGATCTATTTACAGACGTGGGCTTGGGATGCAGAAGAACGGGAGAAAATGGAGGTTCCAGTGAATGGCTTTGTTACTAACACACAGGCTGTGACCTTGGTCATGAACTTATCTTCCGATTCCTTAGATCACAAACATGAAGCCAGAGATTATGAAAACCATGGGTCAACCCAAACTTCTCATTTAAAAACAAGGAACACCTGCAAGGACACCTGTCACACCAGGTGCCACAGGGTGCTTGGGGAGGCTCCCCACCCCCCAGTAGCACTTCCCAAATCTGTTTTGGTGTTGGAACTTCTGCACAAGTCTGTCTGGACCTCTGTCTCTAATATTTTCTTTTAAATTATGGATGCTTTCTATTCAGATCCACCTTAAAGTTCCTTCCCACTTTAATATTCTGATTCTTACCACCTCTTCCTCAGATAATAACTGATTTCTGCCCCCAGGGATACAAAAGCATGTCTTTGACAAAAACCCTGAAGGGGATTCTGGAGATTGGCTTTTAGGTTTTCTCCTGGTGTGAAGGAACAGTGAGGCTGTTGAACTGGACATCTTTCTGGGGGCCCCCTGTTGCTCTCAGTCATGGGCATCTATCCTTAAATGCCTAGTTGATGGTACTTTAGACACATGTCAGCAGTTGTGGGTCTTGGGCTGAGATGGGGGTTCGTTCTGGGGACTCCAGAGCTTGTGTTTGCAAGGTCTTGTTTATGGCAGGAAGCTTCCTCCTCAGTTGGGCTGTGGAGAGAAGGCTCAAAAGACAAGTGCTTATGGGGCAACATGGTGATGCCAATGAACTTCTCCTTCCCTTTAGTAAGACAGCCTGAGGGGGCTGATGTTTGCTCTGGGTTTCTTCAGCTCAGTGGAGAAAATTATACTCCAGGTGGATCCAAGAGAATCTGTTGCAAAGGATTCTGTGGGCCCAGATATCAGAATCTGAGTGACATCTTCTCAATGGGTGGCTGAAGCACTAATTTTTTTTTTTTGGTTACTTTTTAGGACAGTTTCCGGTGTGCAGCAAAATTGAGCAGGAAGTACAGAAATTTCCCATATACCCACTGCTCCCACACACGCATAGTCTCCCCCACCATCAACATCCCCCACCAGAGTGGTTCACTTGTTATGACTGATGAACCTACATTGACACATTATCCCACCGAACTCATAGTTTACATCAAGCTTCACTCTTGGTGGTACATATTTGATGCATTTGAACAAATGTATAATGAACAAGTGTCCACCATCGCTATATCCTACAGAGACCATTTCTAATATCAGCTATTCAAAGTACCTTTTAGAAACCCCTTTGGTTATTTCTTAAAGAATTATAATTAGGCAACACTCAACTTCCCTGCCCTTTGCCTTATCTTTAGAGAAACTACATTTCTATAAGTTCAACTCCTCTACCCCATCAGATCTCCTCCCTAGCTGGGCTCAGAGGGCCAGATGGCTGGGGTGACATATCTGTGTTTTCCTGCTCTGCCCTTTGCTCCCTGTAACCCACTATCTGCCATGCTCTGGTGTAGTCACCCCACAGGAAGTGAAAGATAACTTTGAAAAAATGTACAACATTCAAAGTATCCAGCTGTTGGGGCGCCTGGGTGGTTCAGTCAGTTGAGCATCCAACTCTTGATCTTGGTCAGGTCATGATCTCACAATTGTGAGATTAAGCCCCATGTTGCGCTCCATGCTGGGTGTGGAGCCTGCTTGAGATTCTCTCTCACTTTCCCTCTCTTTAAAAAAAAAAAGTATCCAGCTATTATTACCTTGGCCAAAATATATGAAATCTTTTCTTTTTTTTTTTAATTTATTTTTTAAATATTTATTTATTTTTGAGACAGAGAGAGACAGAGCATGAACAGGGGAGGGGCAGAGAGAGAGGGAGACACAGAATCTGAAACAGGCTCCAGGCTCTGAGCTGTCAGCACAGAGCCCGACGCGGGGCTCGAACTCAAGGACCGTGAGATCATGACCTGAGCCGAAGTCGGACGCTTAACCGACCGAGCCACCAGGTGCCCCTGAAACCTTTTCATAAATATAGAGACTAAATGTCTTTTTTAGTGGATTGTAGTAGGGATTTTAACGACACTGAACTTTTGTTTGAGTGAATGCGCTACAGGGTAGAAGCAGGAAACCATTTCATTAGAACCAGATTCTTCAGTCTTTGTTTACTCTGGAAAATATATCCTTACTCTAAACCCAATGGGGGTACATAGTTAAAAATAAACATAAACAAACAAACAACACTGTCACAGCAGAGACTGTCAGAGATGCCCGTCACTCCTGCCTCAAACTGCACCTCTTGTATTTGCTTTTCCCAGGTATTGGCATGTGCATTCTATTTGGAATGAATTTTCTTGGCTTTTGTTTGGCTGCAGAGTGAGGCAAGAATATTTAAGAATCCTTACCAACCCCTTACCAAGGAAGTGGGTTTCTTCCTTCCCTTCTCCTGTCCTCCACCCCAAGATGCAAGCTCTTTCATTTCTTTCTCTAACTTTATCTTAGTAGCTATTTCTGTAAATCTCCTACAGACTAGGAATATATATTCCAGACATATATTCAGTTTAACAAAATCTTGCCACAATAAAATAGTTTAGTTGTGCTTGGAGTTTGTTATAATGGAATTTTACTTGTACTGAGCTGGCTGGGGAGAAAAACAAAATATTAGAAGGAGAAATGGAATATGGTGGCCAAGGAGAAAGCAGATGCTTCTCTCTCCCTCTTCCGTTTGGAAAATGTATCACTCATTTCTCTTCCTTTCTTTTGGGTCTCAGGATCACTTTCCTTTTTGAGGTCTTTAGATATTTTTTTTTCCTTAAAATTGCAGACAGATGGAAATAAAGAAGGAGTTAATTATCTCTTGTTGTTTTAAAAACTAATACAGGTAATCCAGAAGCTTGCTTTGGGAGTTAGAGCTTCCCCATATATGTGAGAGAGACTGTATCTTTTAGAATACTAAGAAAACAGAATGAACATGTTGCTGGGGGCTTGAGGGGGCAGAGATGTCTGCAAGACGCCGAGAGCTCACTGACACTGCTATTCTCATGTTTTTATTTTAGAGTTTGGGTCTGGAGATGGTAGTACGGTTTCAATGCTCACTCCACTGCAGAAAGTGGACAAAACTCAATAAAATGTTTGCATCTTGCAAAATAGGCTGGGACCTTGAGGCATTCCCATAAGAGCTGATCCAAGAGAGAGGGGCAGGAAATCACTGTCCTCTGAAAAACGTGCGTGGAAATGATGCTCAGGGCAGAGGCGCTGATTCTAGCAATATGAGGAACCTGAGGGAACAGGGAGGAAATGATAGTCTTGATTTGAGGAGAAATTAATGAGGTGATTCCTCAAGGACTGGCCTCATGGCCAGGCATCTCAGCTGTGGGGTGACTTCTTCCCTTGGGGGTAATATGGAGTCTATAGGTGACAGAAAAGGTAGCCGTGGACCCAGGCTGAACAGGGGACTGGGGTGCTCTTTTGGGGTTTTCCGAACATATTATGGGAGGAAGATGTCTATTCTGCCTGTTCCTTCCTTGTCCCTACACTTCCCAAAAGGGACTGGGTCAGGGAGAGGGATGGGTCTGACATATGATGCACTTGGGTATCGTCAAAGAGTCTTAGATCAGAACGAGCCTTAATTCACTCACCTCTTCTCTCTACAGATGAGGAAACAATTATCTTTGGTCTAGAGTAGCTGAGCAAAAGATCTGTCCCCCAGCTCCCACTTTGAATTCCCAATGCAGTGATCTCTTGAAAAATAGCATCAGGCTGTTGCTATTTTTTTTTTTTTTTGAACCATGGGACTAAGTGAGATGATATCACATAAGTAGCAAAAGATAAATGGCAGAATACCTGAACAGTGGGGTATCCCGACAAACGTGGTGATGTCCATTCTTTGGTTCATGTCCTGGGACATCCCCCTCCAGCCCAAGGTGGCACACACTTTTCCCTTTGGTATGGGCTCCATTTTGCTCGGGCATAGGGCTTTGGTGTATAGCCTTGGGTGCCCGGTTTTCACCTTCTTCTCCTCTATCTCAGTCTTCAGTTTCTTGTTTTCTTGCTGCAGATGGACCATTACATTGTGGAGGTGGCTGAGAAAAGGACAGAGGATGTTCAGTCTGCTTCAACTCCCGAGCCACTGTGTCATGTCAGCTCAGGGCCTGTTTTCCTATCTGTCAGATGGGGATAATTAAGTCTGATCTGCCTTCTGTGCTTCATAGAAAGATCCAGTTTGACAAATGATAGAAATTGGATTTGAAGAGCCAGAAGGCTATTATGAACAATCACATGTGCTCGGGCTGTCCCGGCTGGCCATACCTGGGAAACACTCTCATCCAGTTCTGATGCCAAAGTCCAGGTTCTTTTGCCTTCCTTTGCTGGAAGGTTAAGAGCACATGGGATCCCAGCTCTGTTGAGAGCTTGGACAAGTAACTTATCCCCATCTTACAGATGAGGAAATGGTGGCAGCAATGTAGGTGAGGTGAAAGAACTTAGCATATCTCCTGTGGCTCAATAAATGGTCATATTTCTCCAAACCAATGCTCAGGGCAGTGGGTGACAGTGGGCTCTGGAACTAGACTTCCTGAGTTGGAATTCTGGCTCTGCCATTTACTATTCATGAGTTATTTAGCTTTTGGGTTCCTCTCTTTCTTCCCCCATGACAGTTTTTTACGGTTTTATGATTTTAATGGTACTGAACTCACGGTTTCCTATGAAGATTAAGTAAATTAATACATATGAATCACTTAGATCAGTGTCTTACACAGGAAACTGACAAATAGTATTTGCATTATTATTATTATTAGAAGATGGTTTTCCTTCAAATGGGTTCACTTAAGAATGAGTTCTTTGGGGCGCCTGGGTGGCGCAGTCGGTTAAGCGTCCGACTTCAGCCAGGTCACGATCTCGCGGTCCGTGAGTTCGAGCCCCGCATCGGGCTCTGGGCTGATGGCTCAGAGCCTGGAGCCTGTTTCCGATTCTGTGTCTCCCTCTCTCTCTGCCCCTCCCCTGTTCATGCTCTGTCTCTCTCTGTCCCCAAAATAAATAAACGTTGAAAAAAAAAAAAAAAAGAATGAGTTCTTTGTGAAACAGAACTTCCTGGAACTGGGCACAATATAAGAAAAAGGATGAAATGCTTTTTTCTGTTACCTTCAGATTCTTACAATTTTTCTTTCAGTTAATCCGTTTCAGAAAATGCTTTTGTCCTAGTGAAAAATTTCATGCTCTTTTCTAGAAGAAATCAAAGAATTCATTCCCAACTTCTCTGGGACTGTGGTTTGTCCTCTTGCTCTCTATAAACCTGGCTGGTGTCCAAGACACTTATTCCCTTGGAGCCCCACATGTCATTGCCATACTCCATATGCCACTGGGCCTGGAGGAGGGGTCCTCACCATGCCCTCATTCCCTGGCTCTCTGCTACTCTCTTTGGTCCACTTCTTTCAGCATTCCCAAGTGTCTTCAACATCCTGTACTTTCTGTCCAAGTCCTGGCCTCTCAGTTGCTTGACTTCTGTATTCCAATGATCTTATCTTCTCCTTAAACTCAGCCACCCTCCTAAGGTCACAGCTCAGAGCTTTCCAACTGGGGCTGAGATATGGACACCCCCAGCTCTTGGGGCAGCCACTGGTTGGTCAACTTTATCGTAAACAACCCATCCCAAATCCTTCCACTGTGCCAAACAAATGTGGTTATTTTCTAAGTGTTCCCTGACAAAGGGTTGAGAAACATTGCCCTAGAGCTTATCATGACCTGTTACCTGTACCATCTCCAAAGTCTTGGTTTTAGACGTCCATATGTTCACTTCTGTTCCCAGACTTCCAACACTCCTCCTACACTGCACTCTGCTGACCCAGCTTTGACCAGGAGGGTGAAATAAGGCCACAGGGGAGGTTGGAGCAGCAAGTAGAAGGAACCTCCGTTCCCAAATGACCATGTGAGACAGAGGAACCCCACCACCCTGGACTGTTCACTTCCGAGGGATGTTCCTTCCATGTTCTACATTCTTTCATTCAGAGGTCTCTTTGTTACAGCAGCTTAGTCTCTACCCTAACTAGTAGTGTCTAACTTTCAGTTCATGTTTCCTTCTTAGAATTTTTGACCTCTGATAATCGCAAAAGGTAACAGTGAGAAGGGGCATAGGGACCATTAACCCCTTCCTGTATTGTTGGTGAGGGAACAAAGGCCCAAAGAGGTAGTGATGTGCCCAAGGTCACATAAATGTGGATTCACTACTCAGAATCTTTCCAAAGCCCTAACTCTTTCCTGAGGTCAGATGCATGTATTTAATGGAAAAGCCAGCCCTGGCTCGTGCCTGACCCTTCTCCTTGGGGCTCAAGCAGCAGCCTGGGTGGTGTGGGATGACTTACTCTTTTTCTCCAGTTAGCTTGGCAATATATTTGACCTGTTCACGGAGCCTGTTTCCTAGTTTCTCGTTGGCGATCCTGTAATAAAATCCAAAAGAGAAACAGTTCCCAGACCTCCATGTAGAAGGGCATGAGCGCGTCCGACTTCAGCCAGGTCACGATCTCGCGGTCCGTGAGTTCGAGACCCGCGTCGGGCTCTGGGCTGATGGCTCAGAGCCTGGAGCCTGTTTCCGATTCTGTGTCTCCCTCTCTCTCTGCCCCTTCCCCGTTCATCCTCTGTCTCTCTCTGTCCCAAAAATAAATAAACGTTGAAAAAAAAATTAAAAAAAAAAAAAGAAGGGCATGAGCTGGATGGATGGGTTGTTGGTGTTTTCAGTAAGGTGTCTGCTGAACCCTAGACCCTGTTCATTACCCAGTCCCCAGAGCTAGAGCCTCCTTAGCACGTGGCAATTAAGGGGACCCTCCATTCTCAAACTCCCATGCAAGATCACCATGATCTCAGGTGATGTCAAGGGATTCAGGCAGCGAAGCCAGATTCCAGGTTGGGAAGAGGGACTATGACCCACAGCAAAGCGTCTCTTTTATCTTGGAGCTGCTCTGTTTCTAAGTCAGCAGATCTTTCTGATTCTGACTGACTAGTTGAGGCCCCTCCATCTTATTCCCAGCCTCTGAATGTGGGCTGATACTGGATCCATGTCCCCAGAGGGCAGTGTGTGTGCAGGTTCTCAGCTCAGCCCAGGCCCTGGAACCCTGCCTTACTTTTTTCTCCCTTACTTACTTCTGCTCTTTTGCCCATTGCTCCATGTTGGACATACTCTGATCATTCTCTTGGTGCAGCCTACAGGTAGTTTCTTTAGGTGCAGACCTCTGGGGCACACAACAGGGCTTTGGTACAAGAAGAAAAGGAGATGGTTAGGGGTGGGAGCATAGGCCTGTCATCTCCTTACTTCTAAATCAGGCCTCTTCTCTCTTCCTGGAAGAAGAAACATTGATTCTGCCATCCAACCCCTAGGCCAGAGTTGGGACTGCCACAGCAGAACCTCTGCCTCCAGCAGTACAGGCACACAAGGTGACATCTCTGCCAGGGCACCATTTACAGTAGAGACAAAGGACACATGTATGCTTACAATAATGATTTTTGGGCAAAGGAATTAAAACAGTTTGTTCTACAAAAGCAATACATTAAGCCGCTTTTTTTTTTTTAACAGATGGAAAAACAAATATCTTGAGGAATGGATGCCCTTTTTTTAATGCAAGCTAAGGCCCTGTGGCTACCCTGAGATATCCTGTGGCCTCCTACCATGCACTTCACTGCTCAGGGACCAGGGCATAGGGCGTGCCCAAAGATCTCTTAGCAGATTCTACTACAGGGTAGGTGAAAGTGTCAGGATGGGCTCTGGAGGGGGACTGCCCTGTGGGTTATCTAAGTCAGGGCAGGTGGTATACCTGACAGGGAGATGGCACTCTCTTCCCTGGAATAGGCCTTTGTTCTGCTCAATATCGCTGTCAACAAAGGCACAGGAAGACAGTTGGGTTGAGACAACTGCTATGGGACTTAGAACATTGAGACCCGGCTTCACACTGAATAGAGTGTGGGCTGGGGGTGTCCTTGCTTAGCTCTTAGGTGCCCACATCCCCACAAGGGCTGTTTGGTATCCTGGTGGTCGTGGATGTGTTGGGAGGGTCTGGGAGGAGGTGTCAGAAGCTGAGGAGTACCCACCTTTTTCTCGTCTGCCAGGAGGTTCTCCTTCAGGGCGGCCATTTCCTCCTGGAAGGCCCTAAGCTGCTCCTCTTTAGCTGCCAGCATCTTGAGGTCGCTCTGGTGCTGCTTCTGCCACTGCAGCACCTGGTTGCTCATCTCCTCCAGCTTCTTGTCGAAGGCATGCACCTGCTCAGGGGCGCAAAGTGAGAAGGGAGACCCCGGCTTGCGGCCCTGACCCCAGAGCACCCATGACAAGGCCTAAGAGAGCTTTCTCAGCTTTGGGGACTCCTCAGGGGGCAGTTTACTTCCAGTACCAGCAGAGGGCGCCCCCGCTCTGACCGTTGCCTCCTCTGCCTGAGGCTCGCTGAGCCAGCCAAGTGGAGGGAGGGAACCGGTCAGCCTAGGGGAATGGCTCAGTGCTAAAGAGATCGAGGGGCAAGAGGAGACCTTGGCGACCTGGAACAGGAAGGCAGCCTGAGCTCCTGACTGCTTCCTACCTCTAGCTCGCTCTGCTCATGGAACCCCTGCAGTTTTCTTAATTCCACGTTGAGCTTTTTCATCCTTTCCTCATAAGCAATGATTTCATCTTCCAGCTGAACTTTCCTCTCTTGGGCTTGTGCCAAGCTTCGGTGCAGGTTCTTGGTCTCCGAGGTCGCATGATTGAGCTTCCACAAAGACAAAGGGGATGAGAATGGCTGTCAAAGCCATTTAGCCCTTTCTGTTGGGTGCTGAATGGAGAAGCATTCCAGTCCCTCCCCATCCTTCTCTGTTCAGGGTGGCAGAGACACCCAGTCACTTGCCTAGGGTCCCAGAGAGGGGTGGGAAGTGACAATGGTTGGTTTTCTACATCCTCCCTTTCTTCCTGTTTCCTCTTTTTCCAATTCTATGAACTGATCAGCTAGGCATGATTGGTACTGAGTGGGGCACAAATTACCCAGACAATCTAGGTTTTGGGAAAACCTCGCCCCTGGGTCACTTGTGGCCAGAAAGACTGATTGGATTTGGCCTCCATCTTTGCCTCCCCTTCCTCCCCTCAAAAGAAGCCTCATTAAGAGGAAGCAGGCCTTCTCTGGAAGGATATCGCAGCTTGTGCAAGGGTTTGCAGATGGTCCTGGTGGCAGCCAGTCACGCAGGGGATTGACTCTTACATCTCTCATGCTACTCAGATGTTTCTTTGCCCAAAACAGTCCTGGAGATGAGAGGGTATGGCTTACCTTCTCCAGAGCTTGTGTCAGGTCATCTTGGCAGGCGAGTGACTTTCTGGATAATTCCTCATAGGCTTCTTTACTGACCATGGTCTGGAGATATTGCTTCTCTTTCTGCACAGTCTTGTCCAGCTGGACCTGCAGACTCTCTAAGGCCTCCTTCTGAAGGACTAGCTTTAGGGAGGGGGAAATATCACTGTCAAGATTTATGCCAGTAGAGGCATTCTCTGTCTGTAGGAAATGGATAAGAGCTGGTCTCTCTTCTCTCTGCACTAGCCTGCAGAGCAGTCTGTGATAAGGCCTACACCCTCCTCTCACTGTTATAAAAGGAACAGCTGCCTTTCCAGGCTCTTCTTCACCCCTCCCCTGACACTCCCCTTCTAAGTTAGCAAGTCCCCCAGATACAAAGAGTACTGGCAGTACTGGACCATGATGTATCAAGCACATGAATAGTGCCTTTCACAGACTCTGTAGCCTTTGATAAAGAGCTGGAACTCAATTCTAGGTTAAGAGACATGATACAACATTTCATTTGTACATTTTGTGCCTTTCTTAGTTCCTGACATAATCCACTAGACTTGATATACCATGAGAGTGGGACTGTGTGTGCTTCCTTCACTGCTGTATCACCACTGCCTATATAGCTCAGGGCATGGCACATAATATGTGCTCAGTAAATACAAAATAATTTTTTTGATTGAATGTAATATTATACACAGCAATGTTTGGAATTAGGGATACACTGAACATATAGTTATGGTAGAAGTGTGTTTAAAAACCAAAGTCCTTGTTGTAAACTGAGTATTCATGCCAAAGCTAAAAGGAATTAAGATCTGGAGTTAGAGGTCCAGGTTCTGTCATTTACTTAATCTCTCTTAGCCTCAGTTCCCTCTTCTGCAAACCAGGATACTTTCAATGGTTTTGTAGAGTTTTGGTGATGATCAAATGAGATTATGTAGGTAAAAAGGGCTTAGTAAGGTATACATTACTAGATAGCTGTATGATCATGAACATGCTAAGTAACTAGCCATCTTATTAAGTATTTCTAAGTACAGGGCAGAGATCTACTTCCAAGTCCAGAAGTAGGAGAGAGACCTTAGAAATTCACATGCCCAACTTCTGTTCTTTGGTATTTTATATGTTCTTTAGTATTTCAATACACCCACATCTTCTATGTGGCCATATACACAGAAACACACTCTGTTGAGTTTTCTTCAGTAGCTGCTCAAGGCTTGAAGTTTATTATTGTTTCAGATGGAATTTTGAGTATCTTTGACTCTAGGAATTAGTGAGATAAGAAGTGTTAGATTGCACTTCTGACCCTATATTTACATGTCCTGGGAGTGAAACCATTTCTAAAGATAGAATAATTTGGTCTTCTGGAAAAAGGAGTGCATCTTTTTTGGGGACTTCTGAAAACCTGAAGTCATCTGGGTCTCCCCAGTAAACCAGGGGAATCACTGTATGTGATTCATTGTAAGTTTTCAATAAATGGTGGCCAAATCAAGATGTGTAACCACAGAGGTGAGATATTGAAAAGAAGGGTGGGACATAAATCACAATGATGCTAGAAGCTAAAATAGAAGCTTAATTAAATTAATTTTGTATTATTTATTTATATGTAATAAATATGTATTATTTATTATTTATATTATTTATTTATTGCTTTATTTATTTTTTAAAATTTTACCAGCAAAAGATGGGTTTATTTGGGAATGAAAGAGAATTGCAATCGAGGACAAACAAGCTGTGGCAAAACCATAGACAAGTCTGGGGGACAAAGGAGAGATATGCTTTTTTAAGGAGAAAGGGGTAAGTTGGGAAGGCTGTTAAGAACTAAAAGTCCACTGGAGTTTGGAGGCTCTATTTTAAATTTCTCTAACATCAGTGGTTTAGCTTGGAGAAAGGTACTGGAGACATATACGTAGTTATACATAAATTATAGAATCAAGGAATTTTTTTTTTTTTAATTTTTTTTCAACGTTTATTTATTTTTGGGACAGAGAGAGACAGAGCATGAACGGGGGAGGGGCAGAGAGAGAGGGAGACACAGAATTGGAAACAGGCTCCAGGCTCTGAGCCATCAGCCCAGAGCCTGACGCGGGGCTCGAACTCACAGACCGCGAGATCGTGACCTGGCTGAAGTCGGACGCTTAACCGACTGCGCCACCCAGGCGCCCCAGAATCAAGGAATTTTGATAAGAGTTCTCATAAAGATATACTCTCTCCCTGGCCAAAGGCATTAGGCCCGGAAGGTTTTACAGGTGAGTTTCACTAAGTCATCCTGATTCCTCTCTTCTCACATTCAGTCCATTGTTAGTCTGGTTAATTTTGCTGCCAAAACACATCATGAATTTGCTAAAACTCTAGCTTGAATGGCAATAGCCCCCTCACTTCCATACCTACTCCTCTCTGCAATCCATTTCCACACATTAGTCATAGTTATGTTTTGAAAACTTAGATCAAATCACCTCACCTGCTCTTCTGAGGAAATGTTATCAATGTCCTTTCATTGCTTTAATAATAAAACCCCAAATTGCTTAATAGAGACCATAATGTCCACCCCTAACTATGTTTCTACTTTCATCCTATACCAATATCCTCCTCGATTACTACACTTCCATCATACTGGCCTTATTTTACTTCCTAGAATAGTCCAAGTATTGTATTAAAAGAGTAATACATGACACACAGTTAGGACTCATACTAGGAATGTAATGATGGGCCCAAATTAGGATCAATTAATTAATTTCATTCACCACATTATAAAGAACATCATACTGAAACAGATGGGTTCCATTAATGTTCAAAGCAGGAAAAGGATCCTACTGTTGAACACTAAATTATAGGTACTATCTAATGCAATAAGGAAAAAAAAAAGAATAAATATTACAAAAGTTTAGAGAATTGTTGTTGCTTGCAAATGACATAACCATCCACCTAAAAAATCCATGAGAAACAACTGAAAAATTATTACTGCTTAGAAGTGAGTTCAGTAAAATGTCCAAATACATAATAAATATATAAAATAAATTAACTTTCTTATTAACAGTAATTAATTATAAAATATGGTGGAAAAATGTCCTAGAATCAAAGAGATGAAAAAAAAAATCTCAGGATCTATTGCTTTCAAATGGGAAATTTGAAAATTAAGACATGGAGTGCTGATGAAAGAAAATGCATTTTAGAATGTGAAACTAAACCTCTTTCTAATGACTGTTTCAATTGATAATACGTCTACTTTACGTGAGGTATGCTTTTAAAAAGTTGAACATGCTTACACACCAAAAAAAAACCCCTCTAGCCTCCTGGTTTCCATCAAAGGAATTCTGAAATTAATACTTTTTACTTCTAATGGCTATCTTTCTTTTGGCAAACGTGATAACAGGTGTATATTAAATATTTAGGTAATACCCCTTATATTTAGGGAGGTTCCTTAGGGATCTCAGTAATTCAAAGATCAACTCTGGACCACAGCAAAGGAGAGATTTATATCTCGGGGGGACAAAACTCCAGAAACGTCAGCCTCTGTGTTGTCTAATATGGTAGCCACTAGCCACATGAGGCTAGTTACATTTAAATAAAACTAAAATTAGTTAATATTAAAATTAAAAATTCAGTTCCTGGGGCACCCGGATGGCTCAGTTGGTTGAGCGACTGACTTCAGCTCAGGTCATTATCTTGCAGTTTGTGGGTTCGAGCCCTGTGTCAGGCTCTGTGCTGACAGCTCGGAGCCTGGTGCCTGCTTCAGATTCTGTGTCTCCATCTCTCTCTGCCCTTCCCCGTTCTGTCTGTCTCCCTCTCTCTCAAAAATAAATAAACATTCAAACAATTAAAAAAAAATTCAGTTCCTTAGTCATACTAATCCATATTCCAAGCACTCAACAGCCACATGTGGCTAGTAGATACAGTATACAAGAGAGCTCTAATATAGAATGTTTCCATCATCACAGAAAGTTCTATTGGGCAGTGCTATTACTTTTTAAATTATTTTTTAAATGTTTATTTATTTTTAAGAGAGAGAGAGACAGAGTGTGAGTGGGGGAGGGCAGAGAGAGAGGGAGACACAGAATCTGAAGTAGGTTCCAGGCTCTGCGTTGTTAGCACAGAGCCTGATGTGGGGCTCGAACTCATGAACAGAGAGATCATGACCTGAGCTGAAGTCAGACGCTTAACTGACTGAGCCACCCAGGCGCCACTAGGCAGTGCTGTTCTTATACTTTGCATAGTCCATAGTCTTTTAAGGTTAACATTTTTTCTTCTTAAATTATAAAGGAATGACGGCTGCTTGGTCTTTCATTTGCAACCCGAGAGACCACCTATCAAGATGCTGTATTTGTTTCTTGCAGAAAGATGAAATATATTCAGTTGGGGGAAAGTATTGACATTCATGATGAAGGGGAAAGAGGTTAGTGTTGGAGCTAGATGATCCAGGTTCAAATACTGGTCCAGCTCATCACTTAGTAATCAGTTACTTTGAGCCTCAGCCTTTCTTTCCTCTGTAAAATGAGGATCATAGAAATCTATATGTTGCGGGGAGTAAAGCAGATGGAAGGCACGTGAAGGACTTAAATAGACAGTCAATAAATGATGCCTGACGTCAAGCACAGTACCTTGCATACGTTAGGTACCATTTACATTTTTCTTTCCTCTTCATTTGTGTGATGATAAAGAACTGTCTCTCTTTCCATCCCCTTTTTGAGCTTTGGCACTATTTTTGGAAGTGTACCCTAGCAAAGTGCTCCAAGCCATGGACTCACCCAACTCTGGTCTGAAATGCTGTAGTGGAATACTTGTTGCCAAAGCCCAGGTAGTTTGGGAGCTCCAGCAGATATTAAATAAGACCTTCCAGGGGTGCCTGGGTGGCGCAGTCGGTTAAGCGTCCGACTTCAGCCAGGTCACGATCTCGCGGTCTGTGAGTTCGAGCCCCGCGTCGGGCTCTGGGCTGATGGCTCAGAGCCTGGAGCCTGTTTCTGATTCTGTGTCTCCCTCTCTCTCTGCCCCTCCCCCGTTCATGCTCTGTCTCTCTCTGTCCCCCAAAAATAAATAAACGTTAAAAAAAAAAATAAGACCTTCCACACATAGAAGAAACATTTCTTTGGCTGAGCAAATGGGTGTGTAAGGGTTACGACTTCAAGGAGAGAAGTGGCGCTACAGGCACCACGGATGATGCACTTGGGCTGGGCAGTTAGCTGTGTTTCCGTGGTGGAGGAGAGACAGGTCCGATTTCAGGTCAAGGGTCACAGCATTTAACTTTCTTACTCCCTCGGGGTTTCTGCCAACTCACCTCATTATTTAGCTCTTGGATCATTTGCTGGGAGGCGTTTTGTTTGCTGAGAGAGGAATCCAGTTGCGTGGAATATTGCATTAACTGTGCTTTGACATTCTCATTTTCCTCCTCCAATATTCTCAGATTTTCCTTTGCCTGCTCCCCCATTAGAGAACAAAGCCCAGAAAAGAGGTGTTACCTCAGATTCCTTTAGAAGCCTGCTCCCCCTTCCCAGCCTGTAGCTCCATCCTGCAGCCTGCCTTCTCTTGGGACTTCTCTCTCCTCCTCACTTGCCTTTCTCACCTTCCCTCCCCCTTCTCTCCTTAGATTTGAGTCCCCATGGCCTCTGTATCCTACTAGGCTCAGTGGGGCTCAAGTCTTGCCCGGATTCATGACCCAGCTCTTCTTGGGTTCTGCTTCTCACCATCTTTTCTTTCCTTTTTTCCTCTTGTCGGAATGTCTCCAGCTCTTGCTCCAGCAACTTCTCCTGTTCTTTGCTCTTTTTCAACTGCTCCCGTTTCTCCTCCAGTAATCTTGTTACCTCCTGAAGCTCCTCTTCTAGATTGCTTTTGGCGGAGGCTTGCTCCCTATGCTGAGAAGTAAAGAGACTGGCCTGAAAGACAGTCTTAAGGCTCTACGCTTTTGAAACAAAACAAAAAACAAAACAAAACAAAACCCCCTTCCCCTGACAATTGTATAAAGGGAATGGCTGAAATAAACATGAGGGCAACTCCTTGGTTATTTAGCATAGATAATAACAGATTCCTCTGATGTTCAGCATTTTTTTTGTTCGATTAGATATACCAACTTATTTTATTTATAGATCCAGTTCCCACAGCATCAGCCTTCTCTCCCACTTACTCACTAAATCTTTCCACATAAAAACCTCTTTGAATAAAGTTTTTAAAAAAATCTTAGAAAAGCACAGAAAGAATAATTCAGAGATCAAAGACTTTAAAATGACTGACAAGGATGGCTTTTGAATCCTATAAAAAAAAACCCAACATTGTCCTCTGACTGTTTTTAAGCTTAGCCCTTGAAAATGCTTATTATTGGTCATGGGAACTAGAGCTGACAGGCTGGCTTAGCTTTCTAACACAAACTCTGGACAATGAGTTTGAATGGATTGGTGGTGGCATCTTCCCAAATAAAGACTAATATATTTAATCTGGAGCAGAGCAAATGCTTGAGCTGGCAGCCTGCTTGCCCTTTATACCTGGTGTTGAAGGAGTTTTAGACGATCTAGCAGGTCAGTCAGCTTCGCGTCCTGCTCAGCTGTTGTCTTCTGAAACTGCCTCTTTTCCTTCTCTGAATGTTCAAGCTTCCTCCGGGCCTCAGAGAGTTCTGACGTCAGCTCCTCTATCCGTTTCCTAAAGCAACATGGCAACAACAGGAGGACAGACTCAGTGTCTATGTTGGCGGATCATGAGCCACCCGCACGGGGCTTGCTGGCCCACTCCCGGGCAGCTGCCGCGGTGTCCCGGCTGGCTCGCAACGGACAGAGCCTCTCTCTAGAGGTGGCGTGGTGGTACCTGTTGGGTGCGAGTTCCTCTCCGGCCATCAAGGAATCCTTCTGCAGCTTCTGAAGTTCTCTCTGCAGCTCCTGGATGGTCTCCGTCTTCTGCTTCTCCATGAATAGGTAGCTTTGCAGTTTCCTCTGGGAATCCTCTAGGTTACTCTTTGCCAGAAGGGCCTCTTCTTTAAACTGGGCTGCTTGCTGAGCTGCAGAACACAGGGGACAAGCACGTGCATGTGAGGAGGGAGTGTGCATGAAGACCAGACTCCCAATTAAGACCAGTCTGTTCCTTCGTTGTGTGCCCTACCTCAATTTCCAACCCGCCCTCATTTCTCTCCATTTCATTATCACTCCAAAGGAACTCTGCTAAATTATCCGTCTTCAGCTATCCCCCAGCCATGGCCTGCTTCTGGACTAAAGTTCAACAAATCAATATAAACTGCTTGGTATCTGTTATGTGACTCATCCTGTCATTATGGACAAATCCTGACCCTAATGGAGTTTAGAGTCTAGTCAGGGAGACAGACTGGCCCACATGACATAGAGGACACAGTAAGCGTGCACTCACTGTGAACTCCTGTGAAGCAAGATTGGTGGGGATGGACTTATGGAGGAATAGAGGTTGCGCTGAGCCTGAGCATAAGGAGGAGGAAAGGAATTCCAGATGAGGGGATTGTTAGAGCAAACACATGGGAAGGGAACAGGGGAGGCATGTGGGAAGAGGATGGGAAGAGACTGGTTTGATTGGAAAGAAAAGTGGGAAGGGGTGCCGGGAGACAGCTGAGCAGGTACATGGACAAGAGAGGGCTTTGGAGGACTTGGAAAGCCAGAGAGAATGTTTAGAGTTCATTTAGTGGGTTCTTGAGCAGGGACCTGGCATAAAGAAAATACTATTTTAGGAAAACTAGAATGTATTAAATGGGGAAAGACTTCCTACAAATATCTTTTTAGTCCATTCCTTTGCCCCCACTGGGTGTAAAGGGAGAAACCTCAAATACGTTGCTTACTGGAGTTTCTCTACACCAGAATATGCTCCTATATACTAAAGTTTCTACTCTTGTTTCTAACTTCAACCTCACCCTAGTCTCTGTTTTTCAGCCTTGGAGACCGGAAGAAAGATGGTATCACTACAGAAATAATTATATAACTTGGAAGAAGAAGGAAGATTTTCTGTTTTTAAGCAGGGAAGAGAACAGTTTCAGTTTTGGGAATGAAGAATTAGAGGGCTAAAGCCCAGAGCGGGCTGCTCTCCAAAACGAGTGACCACAGGTGCCAAGTCAGGGTGGGGGCTCTAGGTTCTAGAGTTGTCCAGAGAACTAGAGCAGAGGGAGGAGGGCAGAATGTAAGGGGCAGGTGACTACTGCCAGAGAAGGAGGGAAAAGAGGAAACAATGGTGACGTTTGTGAAAGAAGAGACCTGTTATGTCTCCAAAGCTGGGAAACAATGGTTGAATGTGGGAGCCCAACCACACACAGACACACACTGTTACAGGAGGGGAGGAAGGAGGCTACACTTGGGACCCTTTCTTCCCCCGAAATTGATATGTCACTCACATAACATAAAATTGAACTCCTTAAAGCATACAGGTCCGTGGCTTCTGGAATACTCTCAAAGGTGTGCAACCATAATCAGTTCTAATTTCTGATCATTTTTCATCACCCCAAGAGGAACCCCTTACCCAGGGCAACAAGTTATCGGCCACCTCTGAGAAAGCAGTCTCAGCAGTGGAGCAAGGACACAATTGACAGTGCAGGCTGCACAGAAAGGATGTGTTTGGAGGCAAAAAAAAGGGGAGAGAATGTGTCTAAACCAGGGAGAGGAGAGGTAAATTGTATGATGAAGGTCCTGGAGAAGATGGGGAGGAAAGCAGTGCACTGAAGCAGAATATGGAGACCTGTCCTCTCCAGGATGGGGAGAGGAGAAGACCTTCACCTGAGGCAGTTGGGAAGGCGGCGGGCATGCGAGCTCAGTAGTCCACTTTCCCACTTAGGGGTGCGTGCAGGAGCTCGAGAGGGCATTATGATCCCTGGGAGATGTACCCCGAGGTCACTGAAGGTTTGGAGTGAAAAAGTGGAGGAAGAAGAGGAAAGTGACCCGTTAGAGAAAAAAGGGACTGCTCTGGCCCTGTGGGTTTGAAGTGTGCTGGGGACAGGGACACCACCTGCCGGGGCCTCACCAGTCAGCTTCTGTTGCTGTTGAGCATCTTCAAGACAGTCCTTCAGCTTCTGGATCTCAGCCTGCAGGGCTCCACACTCTGCCTTGGACTTATCTTGCTTCACCTCCTGGATGGTGATTTCAAGTTCTGTTGTCATTCGTTGCTGCTTCTCCAACTCCATCTCCTTTTTCATGAGGCTGTTCTGAACCTGGGCCAATTCCTTCTCAAGCTCGTGCAACATCTCATCTTTCTCTTGGAGGATCTGAGGAAAGCAAAATGTGGATGCTGATAGAGGCCTCAGTAGTGCCCTGGTGAGGCCAGTTAGAGATTGTCTAGAGTCCTCTCCAGCTGCTGTCTTCTCTTGTGTGGACATCACAGTAGTCTCCTACCTCTGCTTCCTGCCTTAACTCAGGCTGCTCTCAATGCAGCAGCCAGGGAAGGGGTGGAGGGTGGGGGTCTCTGAAAGTTTAAGTCAGATCTCGTTCTGCCTCTACTCAAACCCTCCGCTAGCCACATTCACTTAGTAAAAGGCCAAAGTCCTCACAATGACCTCCCAGGATGCTCATGATCTGGTCTGACCTCACCTCATGGCGCACCCCTACCCCTCTTGCCTTCAGCCTATCTCCTAGAATATTCTAAGCAGACTGCCGTATAAGGGGGCTCTTGCACTTGCTACTCCCTCTGCCTGGAATATTCTTCCTTAAGACCTTTGCCTGGGTGGCTCCCTCACTTCATTCAAATCTCTGCCCAAATGTTACCTTATCACAGAGGCCTTCCCTGACCACCCTGTGTGAAATAGCCACAAAGCTGCTGTAAGAATTTATCAGTACGATATTGACATTATATTATATATGAGTTCTGTGATTTGTTTATCGTCTGTCTCTTGGTATTAGAATGTAACCTCCAGGGGAGTAGGGATGTTGCATGTGTTATTATATTCTTTTAAAAAATGTTTACTTATTTATTTTGAGAGAGAGAGAGAGAGAGAGAGAGAGAGAGAGAGAGAGAGACAGAGAGGGGAAGAGCTTGAGCATGGAAGGGGCAGAGAGAGAGAGGGAGAGAGAGAATCCCAAGCAGGCTCCAGGCCATCAGTGCAGAGCCTGACAAAGGCCTCAATCCCAGGAACGTGAGATCATGACCTGAGCTGAAACTGAGTCAGACGCTTAACCAGCTGAGCCACCCAGGCACCCCTGTGTTATTATATTCTTAATGCCTAGAATGGTGCTTGGCATACCACAGGAACTCAAAAATATTTGTTGACTGAATATATGAATGACTCAAAGCTGTTTACCCAGACTCCTTGCCTCTTGTGGTCATCTCTCTGATATTTCCATTTTGACTAATGGATCCCCTCTAGACCTTCAAATGGGAGGTTTGAATGACCAGCCAGTCAAGGGGTTGGATGATTTCTATTAGCTCTGATGGAAGTTTAGAGTTGGAATAGCACTGACTACACAAGCTTGCATTGGTTTCACAACCTTTCTGTCCTTACTTCCATTTGTAGACTTTTCCAGGACCTTGACTTATGTTGGCAATTATAGATCTTCCAAGGCATAGTTCCATTAGTATTTTCAAACTGCCTGATTTGCACATTCATAAGATATTTGTCATTTTATAAATTGAAATTTCTTGAAATTCATAATAAGTTTACCTTACAGAATTTCTTTTTTTTTTAAATATGAAATTTATTGTCAAATTGGTTTCCACACAACACCCAGTGCTCATCCCAACAGGTGCCCTCCTCAATACCCGTCACCCACCCTCCCCTCCCTCCCACCCCCCATCAACCCTCAGTTTATTCTCAGTTTTTAAGAGTCTCTTATGCTTTGGCTCCCTCCCTCTCTAACTTTTATTTTTGTTCTTCCTTCCCCTCCCCCATGGTCTTCCATTAAGTTTCTCAGGATCCACATAAGAGAGAAAACATATGGTATCTGTCTTTCTCTGTATGACTTATTTCACTTAGCATAACATTCTCCAGTTCCATCCACATTGCTATAAAAGGCCATATTTCATTCCAGAATTTCTTTCCACTATCAAATACAAACAAAAGTATTTTATTTATTTATTATGTGCTATGAGAAATCCCAAAGAAGTGCTCAGAATTGCCTCTGGGCCTAAGGACCCCACAGTCTCACTGCTCCTGTGTTGACGGTCCCTGGGCTGTCACAGGGCGTGGGTACAGAGCTGCAGGGCCTGCTCTGGCCGGGGTCCAGCCTCTCACCTGTCCCACTGGTGGCTCTACCCAGAGGGCTCCTCTTGCCTTACCTTGTCTTTCTTCAAACCCAGCTTCTGGGTCTCAGTGAACTGCATCTGTAGCTCTTGCAGCCGCCGTTGCAGGATGATGACCTCCTTATCCTTCCTCTCCATGTGGGCGGATGTCTCCTCCCGCAGCCCATGCAGGTCCAGCTCCAGCTTCATCATGTCTACAGTGGGATGGGGCATGTGCTTCTCGCTCAGAGGGGGGCTCCGGCTTCCTTCTGCCTCCCTTCCGGCCCCCACTGCTCCCTGGCTCACCTTTCATGATGTTCTTCTTCTGTTCGGACACGGCCTCTAGCTCCATGCGCAGGTCCTTCACCAGGTTCTGGTACTCCTCCACGTGCAGGCACTGGCTGTCTTTCTGCTCCTGCAAGTGCTTCAGTATCTGGGCGGATGGGAAAGGAGCAGGGCGGGATGAGGATATGGGGGAACAGTGCTTTCTAAAATGCTGACTCTCAGGCAACCTGGGTGGCTCAGTCGGTTAGGCATCCCACTGATTTTGGTTCAGGTCCTGATCTTACATTTGTGGGATTGACCCCATGTTGGGCTTTGTGCTGACAGTGCAGAGCCTGCTTGGGATTCTCTTTCTCCCTCCCTCTCTGCACCTCCCCCTGCTCGCTCGCTCTCTCTCTCTCTCTCTCTCTCTGTCTCAAAATAAATAAACAAACATTTAAGTTGCCAAATGTCTAGAACTGGTGAATCCAGAGAAACAGAGAAGAATAGTAGGTGCCAGGGGCTGAGGGAAGGAGGATGGGGAGGGACTGCTCGTGGATATGGGGTTTCTTTTTAGAGTGATACAAATATTCTGGAATTAGTGGGGATGGTGGCCCAACCTTGTGACTATTTTTAAACCACTGAACTGTATACTTTAAACGGTTTTAAAGTATGTCAATTATATCTCAATTTAAAAATATTAAAATAATAAAAAAATGTGGCAGACTTAGCATCCTCATGTAGAATGTGCACAAAAGCCTCCAGCCCTTCTGCCCTGTAACAATCAACAGTCACTGATGGAGCACCTACTATGTACTAGGCCCTGTCTCCTTCTGCCCTGTAACAATTGACAGTCATTGATGGGGCACCTACTATGTGCTAGGCACTATCCTAAGTGCTGGGGACAGTGGAACAAAAAACCCCACAGACATGAATCCTTGCTGCCATTGAGCTGACCTTACAGTGGGGTGAGACAGACAAAGAGCCTAAGTAGTCACTTGCAGACAATGTTAACAGTTGATAGGTGCTATGGAAGAAACAGAGCAGCAAGAGGGGAATGGGGGTGTATGGGGGGATGGGGTTGTCATTATAAATAGAATGGACAGGTTGGCCCCACTGAGAAGGTGTCTCTGAGCAGGGAGTGAGCCATGCTGTAGTGTCTCTAGGTATCTGCAGACAGGGGAACTAGCCTGTGACCAGACTTTGGGGAGAGAACATGGGGAGGTCATGTGGTTAGAGGGATAGGTGATGGAGAGAGTAGGGGGACATGAGGTGAGAGGTCAGTGGGTGGTAGCATCATGGGGGGCTTGTAGTCCTCGGGCAAGGACTTTGGCTTTTTACCCCGAAGCAGGAGGCTGTAACTAAGAGAAGGTAGGAAGATGTGGTTGAGGAGGAGCAGTTAGTCCTCTGGACATCAAGGGAGAGTTATGTGATTTCAGAGTTGTCAGGAAGAGGAGACTGCAGCATGAAGGTGGGCAGGGCAGGGGACAGCTGGAGGAATATAGGGTAATCACCATATGATCCAGGTGTGGGCACTGCAGAGGCTCAAAAGCTCACTCTATGGGGTGCCAGAGTGGCTCAGTTGGTTAGGTGTCTGACTTGGGCTCAGGTCACAATCTTGTGGTTTATGAGTTCAAGCCCTGGATCAGGCTCTGAGCCAACAGTGCAAAGCCTTCTTGGGATTCTCTCTCTCTCTCTCTCTCTCTCTCTCTCTCTCTCTCTCTCTGCCTCTACCCAACCTGCTCTCTTTTGCTCTCTCTCTCTCTCTCTCTCTCTCTCTCTCTCAATAAATAAATAAATAAATAAACTTAAAACAAAAAGGCTCACTCTATGCCAGGCCAGCTGGGACCTGGATAGTGCCATTCCTAATAGAACATCCAGGTAACATGAAAGCTTTGGATAGGACGCATAAAATGGCAGTGGAAAGTATAGTCTGTTTCATAGGGAAGTCTGCATCAATTTAAAAAATGTAGTGGTAAAAAGGCATTAGTGTTTCATTGGTATAGAGTTTTGGTTTTGCAAGATGAGAATGTTCCAAAGATCTGTTGCACAACAATGTGAATATAACTTAACATGACTAAAATGTACACTTAAATGTGACTAAGATGGCAAATTTAATGTGATATGTATTTTTGCCATTATAAAAAATAAGAGTATGAGAGAAATAAAGACATTTTTCAGACAAAAAAAAAACAAACAAAACAAAAACAACCCAGGAGTGTTATGAGATCTTGCTGTAGGTCAGGACGTGAATAATATGGAACTGACCTTTAAAATAAATATTGACAGATGTCCAAGGAAGAACTCCAAAATTCCATACTGATCCTTCATTCATTTAAACTTTCTGGTGTCAGAAAGTCCTGGAAAGAGAAGAGTCTCCATCCCTCCAGTAGAGGACTCTTGGAGAGCTTATATGTGTTGTTCACTCTCTCTGCTACCTGCCTTTGCCTGCCCACAGTATGGCCTCAGGTGGCTGCCTTTGCCTTGGATCCCAGGTTCAGGTATGACTGGCTTAAGATCTCACCAAGGAAATGCAAACTGGTGCAGCCACTGTTGAAAACAGTATGGAGGTTCCTTAAAAACTTTTTTTTATTAGATTTTTAAATGTTTATTTATTTTTGAGACAGAGAGAGAGAGACAGTGTCTGAGCAGGGGAGGGGCAGAGACAGAGACACACACAGAATCTGAAGCTAGCTCCAGGCTCTGGGCTGTCAGCACAGAGCCTGATGTGGGGCTCAAACCCATGAACCACGAGATCAGGAGCTCAGCCGAAGTTGGACGCTTAACCAACTGAGCCACCCAGGCACCCCTGAGGTTCCTGAAAAACTTAAAAATAGAACTGTCTTATGATCCAGCAATTGCACTACTGGGTATTTACCCAAAGAATACAAGGAGAGTAATTCAAAGGGATACATGCACTCCTATGTTTATAGCAGCATTATTTACAATTAGCTGAGATACGGAAGCAGCCCAAATGACCATCGACTGACGAATGGATAAAGAAGATATGGTATATTCCATATACAATGGAATATTATTCAACCACAAGAAAGAATGAAATCTTGCCAGTTGCAACGACATGGATAGAACGAGAGGGTATAATGCTAAGCAAAATATGTCGGTCAGAGAAAGTCAAATGCCATGATTTCACTCATATTTGGAATTTAAGAAACAAGACAAATAAGCAAAGGGGAAAAGAGATAGAGATAAAGAGAATCAAGAAATAGATTGTTAATTATAGAGTACAAACTGAAGAAGGGAGGTGGGTGAGGGAGTGGGTTAATAAACAGGTGATGGGGATTAAGGAGTGCACTTGTCATGATAAGCACTAACTGATGTACAGAATTATTGAATCACTGTATTGTATACTTGAAATTAATATAATGTTGTGTGTTAACTAACCGGAATGAAAATAAAAACTTAAGGGGCACCTGGGCGGCTCAGTTGGTTAAACATCTGACTCTCGGGTTTTGGCTCAGGTCATGACATGTCTGGTCTAACAGTGCAGAGCCTGCTTGGGATTCTCTCTCTCCCTCTCTCTCTGCCCTTCCCTCGCTATCTCTCTCTCTCTCTCTCTCAAAATAAATAAACATCAAAAAAAAAAGTAACTTAAAAAAAAAGATCTCACCTAGGAGAGCACTGAACCTAGTTTTGGCTACTAGTTGGTCAAATCTTGCTATTTGTTTACATGGTTTAAATGCTTATTCACTGTTAGAAACAATTTTTGAGATGGCTTTGAATTTTGAAAATAATGAGTTTTTGAAAAAAAGGACTGATTGTGAATAGATAAGCTTCCCTAAATTTGGTGCTCTTCGACTCCAACCAGAAACTAGAAAGCTGGATGGTCCTTTTGAACCTAGCAAGCCAAGGGGAGTCTCTGTCTTATTTAGGAGGACTGTTGAAAGGGGGTTAAGAAGCAGGTGCAATTCCAAAATTCAGCCACAAAATTGAATACTGCCAGACACATTCGTTGGGACTTGGCATACATTGCATACAGTATCTTTGTGACAGGGCCAACCAAGGTCACACAAATATAGAAATGAAAAATAAGCAAGAAAACCCAGAATCAAACTCAACTCCACTCGACACCCCAGGCACAAATAAGCAAAAGTTCGCCTACCTTTTTAATGTCTTCACAATCTTCTGAGGAGCTAGGAGGATGTCTGTGTGTGGCTGTATAGGAAGCAAAATCTGCTTGTAATTTTATCAAAGCCTCTTCACGCTCCAGAACCTGCGTATAAGTGTAGGTCAGTCATGCTGGGTGATCAACAGAATGTGATTATTTCTAGACTAATGTTGCAGGGTGTTCCTTTTTTCAGCCTAAGTTCATTGTAATATTATACAAGTTATCACACACTTCCTGTGTGCTTAGTTCAGAGAAAGAATTAGGTTCTCAGTCTTACATCAAGGTTCAGTAAGGCATAGGCAGTGGTTTGTCTCAAGTCTGTCAGTGGCCACATTTTGGACTCCCTCCTGAACCTCTGTGTGGTCTAGTTTATGAGGCAGAAGGTTCTTTAAAAACTGTGATGGAAAAACATACCTGATGTATCAGAGGACAGGATTCAAAGTTCAAGAATTAAAGAAGGAAGTTTCTTATGCAGTGGGTGGATGTGTATGTACTTAAAAAAAATTTAAAAAGCATGAAAATTTTGTTCTTGTTGGTTGAAAATAATTCAAACAAAACCCAAATCATCAAAAATAAGTGAAATCTCCTCTCCATTTAGTCTCCCTTCTCTCCCTTCCACTAGGGGGCAATGGGTACTATGGGCAATTTACTGTACGTACTTCCATAATATGATCAAAGAGTTTAAAAAACAAAAGTGGAACTGAACTATTCATAGTATTTTGCAACCTTTCTCAACAATATATCACCAACATCCTTCTACACAGTCCTTACAGATCTACTTAATACTTTTTCTTGGCTGCATATTACTCTACAGTATGGATATCTCTTTAACCATTTTAAAAAAATTTCTTCAACCATCTCCCTATTGATGAACACTTAGGTTGTTGTGTGAGAGATTTTAAGTCTCTTTAGAATCTTGAACTTAGTGTGGGTTCGGGGGATGCATCCATGGAGAATATGAACAAAAGGTGGGGGCAAGTATAATTAAGATATTTGAGGAGTCTTGGGGAAAGAGATTACTTTAGGTGACTCTTTTTCCATCCTTTCTTTCTTCATGGCATTATTTTTGGTGTCTCAGAAAAATGTTCTAGAACTCACTTACCAAAGCATTACTGCAGGCTAGTTTATTTCGAAGTTCCTGGATTAGATCATCCTGTTCAGAGACCTTTTGCCAGACTTCAGACAGTCGTTTCAGGGTCTCCTGATGCTCTTGAATCATGCAGGAAGAAGTATATATACGCACCTTTGAATGGTCACCCTTATTCTCAGGGTCCTGGGATATTTAGAAATAATGGGTTGGTTTTGTTCATGATATTTGAGTTAACTTCAGAATAACAGAAGCATGGAAAATCTCTTTGCTCTATATTCTAAAAGTTCATGTTCATATATGTGAATCATATCTCCCTAAGTTAAAGAAAAAAATTAACCAGTGCATACACATGGTGAAAACTTCAAACAGTTCATAAGAGGATACACTGAAAAGTTAGTCTTCCATCTTGACCCTCCATGACCCAGTTCTCTTCTTCTATGACAGTCTGTGTTACCAGTTTTGGGGGGTATCCTTCCAGGGATATTTTATGTATATACATATATATACATCGGTATATATACTGAGTTGGCACTTCAGAGTAATGGGAAAGAGGTTCAACAAATCAAGTTGGGACAGCTGGAGACACCTCTTGGAAAACACAAAATTATGTATATCTATATTTATCTATCTACCTATATATGTAGATTCTCTCTCTCTCTCTCTCTCTATCCATCTATATCAATTCCAAATAGACTAAAGATAAAAACATCGAAGTACAAATCTACAAAAGTGCTAAAAAGAAAATGAGGTAAACTTTTATGATCTTGGGGGTAGAGAAGGTCTTCCTAAGCATGAAATCAAACCTCGAATCTATCAAGGAGGCCTCAGAGATTTAACTCCATAAAAATTTAAAATTTCTGTATAGTGGCGTGCCTGGGTGGCTCAGTCAGTTAAGTGTCCGACTTCGGCTCAGGTCATGATCTCACAGTTCGTGAGTTCAAGTCCCGCATCAGGTTCTGTGTTGACAGCTTAGAGCCTGGAGCCTGCTTCAAATTCTATGTCTCCCTCTCTCTCTGCTCCTCCGTTCATGCTCTCTCTCCTTCAAAAATAAATAAAAACACTAAAAATTTTTTCTTAATTTTTTTTTAACGTTTATTTATTTTTTTGAGACAGAGAGAGACAGAGCATGAACGGGGGAGGGGCAGAGAGAGAGGGAGACACAGAATCAGAAGCAGGCTCCAGGCTCTGAGCCATCAGCCCAGAGCCCGATGCAGGGCTCGAACTCACGGACCGCGAGATCGTGACCTGAGCTGAAGTCCGACGCTTAACCGACTGAGCCACCCAGGTGCCCCTAAAAATTTTTTTTAAAACAATAAAAAAAATTTTTCTATATAGTGACAAATACCATTAGTAAAGTAAAATGAAAAGGTACAAACTGGGAGAAGGTATTTGTCACATATGTAATACAGCACTATTACACGTAGTATATTAAGAAGTTCCTGTAAGTTGATACACAGAAGACTAAATACCCAATTAAAAAATAGGTTAAGGATTTAAATAAGTAATTCATCAAACAGATATCCATATGACCGATACACTCATGAGCAGTGCTCAATATTTGTCAGCATGGAGGTGTGGGCACTGTGATGTGCCTCCCGGGCTGGGAGGTCTGCCCTGAGACAGCCCTCAGTTGTCAGCCCTTTTTGGGGATTGCCTGGGCTGAAGAAAACTGCTTTGCCCAAAGTCATGCCTCTTCCTAGGGGCAGCTCACACTCAAAACTGATCAACATGGAGCTAGACGATTAGCTCCTTCCCCCCAATTTGGGCCTGTTTTGAAGGTCTGTTCAGCCCCAGAGCTCCCCACAGGGTTGGCTAAGGCCTTTGTTGGGACTGCATCACAGCTCAGCTTCTCCCCTTGCTCAACGTTGCTTCCTTCTCCTTCCTGTCACAGGTGCTGATACCCAGGGATCTCCCTACCAAAATGTGCTGCTTGCCAATTTGTCTCAGAGTCTGCTTGGTGGGGAGCCCAACCTGCAACTGTTAGAGTTAAAGGAAATTAAAACTGTAATGAAAAACTTTTTTTTCCCCATGCATCAGGTTAGCAAAATGTAAAAAGACTGAAAACATAACCATGGGAGTGAGAGGAAGTAAGCTCCCTTTATTATTGTTGCTAAAGGTGTAAACTGGGAGAACCTTTTTGACATTCAATTTAGAAGTATCTTTAAACATTAAAAATAAGCATATCCTTTGACTCAGCAATCCCACTTCAGGAAATTATCCCATAGGAATAAGGATGATCATTATAGCTTGTTTGTAATAGACAAAATAGGTCAGTAGATGGTATAGTCATACCATAGAATACAAGGAAATGGAAATTGTCAAGATCTACATTTAAAAGGCAAGGTGGAGAACCACATTTATGAAATGACCCATTTATATAAAAAGAAAATCCTAACCATTTATATATGTAACTGCATAACAAAAGACTGAGGAAGATTCCCAACAGATTTTTCAAATGATTACCTAAGGGGAGGAGGGGGTGGGTAGAGGAGGCTGAAGGCAGGCTTTCAAATTTAATCTCTGTAATTCTGTCTAGAGAGCCTACATTGTTGTACTACTTGTGTAATTAAAAAAAGCAATTAAAGGGAAAAAAAGGGGATTCAGGCATTTTGGCTCTTCTTTGTTATCTTTTATGGGTTTCTCCCCGTTTGACCCTGAGGTATGGTATGCATGAGTCCTGTGACCTACATGAGCCCCCAGCCAGAACCCCCCCATGAGAACATGGAAGATTTGAGAGTTCAGTTATTAGAAATGCTGCATCTTTATATTAATTAAGGAGCTTCAAAATTCCTAGGGAGGAATCTTAAAGGAGATGTAAAGGCTGGAAATTGAAAGCTGAGGGCTCCAACACTGAAGGGAGGGAACGACATCTGGTTGAAGGTTTGGGTTTCCCTCAGAGGAAGCAGGGACTGTTAGCAGGGACAACCAGGAAGCACGTCCACTTGCTGGAGTGCCTGGTCTGAGTGGTCTGGGGTGAGTCCTACCTGACTGACAATCCCGCTGAGCTCCCCCTCCAACATCTTCACTTGGCACTCCAGTAACTCAATGTTGCTTAGGGAAGTCTGGTATTTATCCCTGTAGAGGTTTAGGCTCCTTTCTAGGGAGATGATCTTGTCCTCGGCCAAAGCAAGTTGCTCCTGTGCCAAATGGAGCTTCTCCCCTGTGTTCTCATTATGATTTCCCATTTCCTCCTCATAGAGAATCACCTGTTGGTGTAGGAATGAAACCACACGGAACTCATGGAGGCATCTCATGAGGAAAGAGCACGGCTATCAGACCCCACGCAGAGGAGTCTTATGTCTTAACTAGAAGCCCAGATGTTCAGAATAGGCCCAGCACAGATTTAAAAGCTATGATATACAATATCAGAATTTAAATGATTAGAAATAAAAAAAAAGATGGTCCTATTTGGATGGTAAACTTCTTAAAGACAGGGACCATTTTCTATTTCCCATTCTGCCTGGCATGTAGTAAAAACTCAATAACAACTTGTCAGTTGATTAATATGAATGCATTTCTATAGCTCCATTTTTTTAAGGGCTTGAAATGCCAGTATTCTTTCCTTCCCAGGTATTCTCTAGAGATCAATTTAGAAAAAGTGGAGCCCCTCATGCACACAGCAAAGTTCCTGAGAGACCATGGGGGAACAACCCCAAATTCCTCTGGGACTTGCACAATTCTTATCTAGATTCCTTTCCTTCCTAATCAGTTAATTAGTCAACCAACTGACAGGTATTTATTGAGTGCTCATAAGCAATGTCTTGGGTGTTGAGGGGATATGTTGAGGGGATAATTTGGGGGAATGTGTGATTTATAACTAGCAAACAACTGTCTAGAGTTGAGTGTGCTAGGTTGTATGGCTAGAGTTATATGTATTGAAGGAGAAAAGAGCGGGAGGATCATCAAGGAATGTTTCATCTTGGTTCAAATAGTTCAGTGTAGAAACTGGATAGAACGCATTCTGTAAGTCTAAGCTATTTACTGCCATTTGAAGTTCCTCTTAGGAAAAGGTCACTTAGTTTGAGATGTTTATTAGATAAGGGAAAGAGGAAAGGAATATTTATGTTCAAATGTCTATAACCGAAGCTGTCAGTGACTTGCTCACATCCCCTTGGCACTCACCATTCCTTTGCATGCTAAATGCATTCCAACCACAAACATCTTCAACTCATTGCCTGAGGGATGCTCTGGCCTAAGGAGCCCACTCAAGCAGAGGAGAAAGACAAGGCACATTACAAGTACTGGGGAGTTAAAAGCCTCAGGTGCATCCTTCAACCACTGACTGGGTGGGTTGGCATGGGATCACCATGTTCTACACTTTCTCCCAGGGTTCTTCAGAGGGCATGAACCCCAGGTGCCCAGAGCAGGGGTCTTGTGATTTTCTTTATGGGCTTCCTGCCTTTCTTTGACTCACTTCCCCACTCTCTCTCCAGGATCACCTCCTGAATAAACTACTTCCATTCATTTCCTTGTCGTAGGCTCTGCTGTTGGAAACACAACCTTCCACAAAGTTTAATGCTACTGAGTAACAAAGTATTGAGGAAACTTGGCAGAATGTTGAGAGTAATTTTTTCCAATGCTTTCCTTGTGTGAGATCTTTGTCAGTGACTGCTACTTGCCAGATCCCACATCAACTCTCCCCCTCCTCCTTCATAGTTGAAACTTGACTTCATTTGGGATGGCAGTGCACCTCACTAAAATATATTTCCTTGGCTTTCTAGAAACTAGCTGTAACCATATGACTAATTCTGGCCCATGATGCATAAATGAAAGTGTTGTATGGGGCTTCTGGAAGGTGTCCTTAAAAGAGAAGAGTGTCTTTTCCTCTCCTCCTCCTCCCTTGCCCCCATCCTGATTATTTGCCACCATCACAGGATGTGAAGTTTGGAGCTCCAGCAGCCATCTTAGGAGACCTAAAAAATGGAAGTCTGGAGCTGATGATGGTGGACCCAAAAGATAGGACGCTAGAATTGCAGTTCCCGAAATAGTCCTAGACCATCCACCTCCAGCCATCTTAGCACTATCCTAGAGAGTCTCTGGAATTTTATCTCAAAAGGCAAAGGAAGAAAATACCAGGGGAGGCTGCCTGTGGCTGCCTGTCTCATTACATAGAACCTATAGTTTTTACTGCTGCTAGTGCTACCACTGCTTAACTGGCTTAAATTCTATAGTTTTGGTCTTTGGAATTGACTCGGGATTCCACAAGGATGCTCTTTCTGGTTTAAAAAATACTATCCTGGCACATGAATAGAAATGAATGTACAGAATATACTTAAGTCTCTATGATCTAAAACTCCAGTCTGAAAAAATGACCAATCTGGTACTCTCAGTGATTGACTCAGACTCAATGTCTGGTTATCTTATCAACTATCAAAGTGCTAAAAATTTATATATTATCAAAATCTGATTTTTCTAAAAATGGTTCATTTAATGGATTTTATGCCTCTTTTTTTATAACCCTCAGAGACCTAGAGTCTTTTGCATTTAAATTGCAATGGTAATAGGATGGAAATGATGGACTTATATGCACACCACACATACACACATCGTGTGCCCCACATGTATCATTAGTGGAGCTCTCATTTATGCCATTCTGTTTAGTTCCCTCTGTTTGGCTTCAAAAAGAATGAGAATTAAAGAGGGAACATTGATAAAACCTGCTCAGGATATTGGGAAGTTCTCTGTAAGCCCACTGTCTGTTTTCTAGTAGGTACGACCTGATTTCTGTAGGTACATGGGCAAGGAGACATTTCCATAGTTATTCTATGTATACCTCATCTTCTTTTAGTTTGCAGTGATGGTGGAGAAGAACCAGGTCAGAAGTCTGCTTTTCTAGGACGGACTGATACTGTAGGAGGGAACAGTAAGAAGTCTGCAGCTCTTCTGTGCGAAACTCCAGTTCTTGCTGGAGAGCAAGCAATTTTTTCTTGAGTTGTTGGAGTTGCCTCAGATGGCACTGCTTACTGGGCTCAAACTCCATCCGCGGCTCCTTGAATGCTAGCACTTGCTTCTTATTCTGCAATTGAGATCAAATATATGGAAAGAACTTTAGGTTGTCGCTCAGTTTGCATTCATTCTTTGATTTTTTTTCACTTGTCCAACAATTCACATCCATCTATAGTCATCCTTTCATCCACAGAACACTTACTAAACACTTCACTGTATTCACAGTGAAAAATCATTTTATATTTCCATCCGGTAAGGAGGATTTGAAAGAAAAAAAAACCTAGGTCTTTCTTACTATTTGGACCTACCAGTCGTATTATTTGGGCCAGAAGAAAAAAACATACAGCTAAAGAATCTAGAAAGTAGTACAAAGATACACATGTTAATATGGGTTTGTTTGTTTGTTTGGTCTTCAATTTAAAAATAACCTAAATGACCTAGAATGTAGTGAATTTCTGGTCAGTTCAGTTCTTGGACTGAACTCGATTATTAAAAATGCTCAGATAAAAAGGTAAACTCGGGGCGCCTGGGTGGCTCAGTCGGTTAAGCGGCCGACTTCGGCTCAGGTCATGATCTCGCAGTCCGTGAGTTCGAGCCCCACGTCGGGCTCTGTGCTGACAGCTCAGAGCCTGGAGCCTGTTTCAGATTCTGTGTCTCCCTCTCTCTGACACTCCCCTGTTCATGCTCTGTCTCTCTCTGTCTCAAAAATAAATAAACGTTAAAAAAAAAAAAAAGGTAAACTCTTGGGGAAACAGCTTTTTGGAATGCTGGGAAATGGGAGGCAGAGCTATCATTCAGGGACATATGGGCACAGACTCTGTTGTCTCCTCCTGAAGGAAGATGTGACCCTGTAGATGCTGAGTGTGTGTGTGTATGTATGTGTGTGAGAGACACAGACAGAGAGACACACACAGAGAGAAATAGAGAGATGGAGATAGAGATAGAGATAGAGATAGAGAGAGAGAGATTTCTTCCTGCTAATCCACAGTCAACTTGAAAAGCTGCTATAGACCCATCTTATGTTTTTACTCATTCATTCAATAAACATACATTGAGCACCTGCTTTGTATCAGGTATACTGCTGGTAGGATGTATCCCTGAGGTATTTATTACAGTACAGTTGAGGTCTTTGCACTCAAGTTTCTATATTTGCTTGCCCAACATCCTTGATGACATATGAAAGAGAGGTGGATGAAGAGGGTGGCCCATGGGCATTCCTTAACTCCCATTTCTGCTTATTATCCTCCTATTCATTCTTTAAAACTGTCCAATTCTTGCTTTCCTTGTTTTCCCTGCAAAGTTGCCTTTGCACCAATACCATACACTTTACTGTCATGTCTTTAATATGGCATTTCACATTCCATCTTGCATTGCAGTGACCTCTGTATATCTTAACTTCTAATTAGATTACAAACTCCTGGAGGCTGGGGCCATGTCTGCTTCTATAGGACATAGAGATTTATACACAGTTAGGTATTAAAGGAAAGTAGGAAGTAAAACAGAGAACAGACAATATCATTGGCTCCCAAAAATGTGAGCTTGTGGTCTTGGGCTAATTAACAGAGTACTTTCAAATTTTAAAAAAATTAACATTTTTTACAGGGTTATTGAAGTATACTTTATATATCATAAAATTCAACCATTGTAAGTGTACAGTTCAATGATTTGTTGAAAATTTATATAGTTGTGCAACCATTTTACAATCTGGTTTTAGAACATCTCCATCACCTCAGAAAATTCTCTCATGCCCATTTGTCACTCCTGTTCCTACCCCAGCTCCAGGCAACCACTAATCTGCTTTCTGCCTCTATGGATTTGCCCTTTCTAGACATTTCATATAAATGGAATTGTATGTCATCTTTTGTGTCTGTCTTCTTTCACTTAGCATAATGTTTTTGAGGTTCATCCAGGCTATAGAAAGAATCAGTATTTTGTTCTTTTTTTTATTGCTGAATAGTATGAATATACCATATTTTGTTTATCTGTTCACCAGTTGATAGATATTTGGATTGTTTCAGCTTTTGGCAATCCTGAATAATGCTGCTATGAGCATTAACATAGTAGCCATCTGCAGATGTGATATTTTCCTTTAATTTGTTTGGCAAACATTATGGTGTACCTACTATGTGTCAAGCACGGTACCAGGTATTGGGGATATAGAAGCATATAAAACAGAATACCTGCCTTCATGCATTTTTCATCTAGTGGGGAGGGGGGAGTCAGCAAATTAAGTAAGTAAATAATGTAGTGTATTAAAAGGAAAAAGTGCTATGGAAGAGAGTAAAGCAGGGGAGAGGGATGAAGAATGCTTGCATGGAGGGAACTGTTATTTTGAATTAAGAATTTTAACGGAGGACCAAATTGAGAAGGTGGTATTTGAGCTAAGATTTGAAGGAGGCAGGGAAAGAGCCTGGTGGGAATCTACAGCAGGAACATTCCAGGGAGAGATAACGGCTTGGACTAGGGCTTGGGCTACGGCTTGGGCTAGGGCTTGGAGGTGGGAGGTGCCTGGTGGTGTCTGAGGAATCACTTTGTTCTGGCTGGAGCAGAGAATGGGGCAGAGTGGTACCAGATGAGGTGAGAAAGAAAGAGGTGAGGTCCTTTCAGGGCCACATAGTCCATTCTAAAAACTTTAACTTTTCCTTTCAGTGAGATAAAAGGTCATTGGAAAGTACTGAACAGACAAGTGAAATGATATCCTTTAGATGTTACAAAGGCCCAGATGTTACACACTGCCCATTCTACTGAAAATCAACTGTAGGGAGGCAAAGACTGAAGCAGAGAGACCAGCAAAGAGGCTGCTACAAGAATCCAGGCAAGAAGGGATGGTGGCATGGACCAAGGTGGAAGTTGGGGGAAATGGCTGGATTGTAAATATGTTTTGAAAATAGATTCCATAGGATTGGTTGCTGTGTTGGATGGTCGGAGATGATGATCATCCAAGGCAAATCGACTCCAAGGTTTTGGTCTGAGTAACTGGAGAGACTGAAGTTTAATGAGATTAATTTTGTGAGAACTGGGACTGAAAAGAGGGAAAACTTTCTCTAGTGAGAGTGAGTGGGGTGGCTCAGGTAAGAGAAGGGAAGCTCAGCCCAGCTCAAAAGGAGAAAGACAAAAGCTAATTGTGTCAGTTCATTCTGAATGAGAAGACTGAAAATGCACCATTGTGGTCACCAGCAAAAGAAATCCTAGAGAAAGACAAGCCAAACCTTTGGCCTGAATATCTGGTGTATGTGGCTGAAGGGAAGTTAATGATGACTTCTTTCTTAAGCCAAACAAAGCTGAATTTTGTATTTACTCTGTGCAACTATAATTGCCAACATTTAGATGGAATATTTTTAGTTAAGTGTTCTCATTCTTTTCAAAATAAGAATGTTGCTATTCTTGGGGTGCCTGGGTGGCTCAGTCGGTTAAGCATCCGACTTCGGCTCAGGTCATAATCTCATGGTTCGTGGGTTTGGGGCCTGCAATGGGCTCTGTGCTGATAGCTCACAGCCTGGAGCCTGCTTCGGATTCTGGGTCTCCCTCTCTCTCTGCCCCTCTGTCCCCTCCCCCACCCCCAATAAATAAACATTAAAAAAATTTTTTTAAATGTTGCTATTCTCAGAACTCATCGATGAATGAGGTTCAAAGAGAAGGGACTTGGGAGTGGTATGTGGGTGTGTGTGCATGCACACATACATGTATAGGGGGATGTTCTCAACTGCCGAAGTCTTCTGTCTCTGCAGGTAAGCTGGGGGTAGAAAGCTACTTGGAAAAAGACATGGTCAAGAATAAATATTAAATGTGGCTAGAGCCAAAACAAGGGGGTGAACATCCTGGGGTAGGGTTAATTCAGAGGGCTTATTTTAGTGAAGCAGATAACCAACAAAATCCTTATCAAATTTTTCCCAAATTCAGTTTTTCTTGGCTTTGTTGAAGTTGATTTGATCTCTGAAAATTATAAAAACTGGATTCCTGGTCCCTCCAGTACTTGTGTGTAACTGTTGATTTGGACCTGCCTCTCTACTGATGGGTACATATGACCCAGTTGAAAACAAACTGTGCTCTCTTCACTGTTCATTCTTTCTTAGTTTCCCCTTATTTCCAAGTTCCTATTTTCTCTTCATCACACAAAAGAATGAAAGAAGTGCTCTTTGTTCATCTTTTTTTAAAGTCAAACTTTTTCTTTAGGGTTTCCCCTCCTAGAATGTGGCACATCATCTAATCTTAGGTGTGTTCATAATTGTTCTGTGGCTTGAAAGCCTCCTGTAGATAAAGAATGTCATTTTCTATGTGTATAAAGCTCAGCAAACTGTTAGTGATACTGGTGAACTGTTAGTTCCAATTTCTCTTCCCCAGAGGTCATGTTGAGTCTTCTGGATTTAATTTTGGTTTGAGGTAACATGATAGGCCATGTTACCATAGATGATGAGAGTTCATTCAAATCTTCCAGTACAGGGCAAACATAATGCCTGGCCAAATTTGTCTGGTTTTGAAGATCCAAAGAACTGCCCATATCTGCAGAGAAACTAGAGTTTCCTTGATGAGAATTTTAAACATTTGTACACTATAGATACCAATGTGTTTAGAGGTCAAATTTCAAAGTCTTGGAGAAATGCCTGGAATTGTTTGAGACCTATTAAATTTCTACTTATTTATTCTTAAGTATTCAAAAGATTATTTTGTCTTAATTCTAAATTAATAGAAAATGACGTTATGGATTAAGTCTGCATTTCACTTATAGATGTGCCAAAGAGCAGTATGAGAAAGGCATCAGTGCATTTTCTACTGCCTCTTTGTCTTCTTTGTTTTTTTTTTTTTTTTAAGTTTTCTTTCTAGTGAAAACATAGATATTTTATGAGATTCTGCTTTGACCTTTAAACTGAGATTTGGAGAAAATAAGCAAGTTGGAAGTAATCTTCTGGAAGTAAGATTAGTTCTTGAAGTTACCATTCAGAGTTGAATTGTTCCAGAAGGCTGTCAGGTCCACCATGTTTCTCAGACAGATTTCTATCCAGGCCTCAGGTGTTTTAAAAGATGGAGAGCACTGGCCACCTGTAGGAACCTGTTGCCATATTTAGTCAATTTCTCAGCCCTACTTATGGTCAAAGAGATTATAGCTATTGCTCTTTCCTTGCCTATGTGGCTACTTGATCACAGAAGGAAATTAATTGGCCTGGCATGATTTGCCTTTTGAGAAGTCACTTTGGTTTCTACCCAATACTTTGTGCTTTTCAAGTTGATGCTAATTGATTGATGTTAAGTTCTATATTTTCCCTGATATTGAAGTTAAGCTGACAGGTCTATAATTACCAGGATTGTCCTTTTTCCCTTTTTAAAAAGATGAGCACTTCATTTACCCTTTTTCAGTCTATAGGGACTTTCTTTATCCTCTTGAGTTCTCAAAAATAATCGCTAGCAGCTATGTAATAACACCTGCCAATTCCTTAAGTACTCTTCAAAGTATGTCATCAGGTCCTGCTGATTTGCCTAAAGCCGGCTTTTCAAAATACTTTTTAACCATTTTATTCCCTATTCTAGTTTGCACTCTCTTCTGTCTCAGGTTGGCATTGCTCTGATAACTGGATCCCTGCTGCCTTTTCCCCTCCATTTAAGAACTGAAACTCTCATCTTTCCCCAGTCATTGTCATGAACTTCTTTATTTTAGAGGTGTTAAGCGAGGTATTTTCTCTGTAACTCTAGTTTAGCCTTTTATCACTAGATTAGTTTATCTGTTACTTTTCATATCTTCTACAAGTTACATTTCTTGTACTTTCTTGTATTGGTAGAGTGTAAAACTGTGTGTTTAAGTGACATGCATTTCTTTTGGATACATCTTCATGGTTCAGACATTTTTCTTATCAGTGATCTCTGCTTATCAGAGATTCCCTTTAAAGAAAAAAAACTATTTTGGAATAGTTTTAAATGTACAGAAAAATTGCAAAAGTAGTATATAGAATTCTCATATGCTCTTTACCTGTCTTCTCCTAACACTAACATTTTACATAACTATAGTACATTTGTCCAGCTAGAAAATTAACATTGGTAGGTTACTATTAAACTACATACTTTATTTGGATTTTATCTGTTTTCCCACTAATTTTTTTTTTTCTGTTCGAGGATCCAATCCCAGATTCCACAAGGCATTTAGCAGTTCCACATAAAAAATTGTTTTTCATTGCCAATGACTCAATATCAGTCATATTTCTGTGCCATAATTTCCATCACGGATGTATTAACCTGTATTCAACTGGTTACTTTTATTTTCAGAAGTCAAATTTCTTGCCCAGTTTTATGCTAAGAATAGTGTCCTACATCCACTTCAAAGATGAGTTTGATAATCTAAGCTCTATTGAAAATCAGGGTGTTCTCCCCAGGCCACCACCGGGGCCAAAGGGACCTGGGAAATTGCACAGAAAGACCTTTCTTTTTCTAATTTGATCATTCTTTTATTATGATATCTCTGTTGTTCTTTTCTCCTTTCACGTTAATTGAAAGGTTCCTGGGCAGGTTCAGGACTACAGTGAGGCAAGTGCAGATTTTAAGAAGGCATTCAGTCTCCAGATTAGCACTTGAGGGTGAGTGCCCTATAACATTTGTACCCTCGGTACCTCATTTGCTTTAGCTATCTCTGTTCCTGGGTTTTGGAGCATGACATATTCTTGATTTACTAGGTTACCCACCCCCGCCTGCGATCCCTGTAGTTACATGTTAATATCCGATGTAGTATTTTAATTTTGTCTCCTAATTCTAGTTCTTAATTATGACCTCTGGTTTATTTCTCCAGATCTTTGTTAGATAGTAGTCAAAAATTTCAGAAAGTCTTGGGTTTTCCCCCTCTGTTCCCATATTACATTTCCTTGTAGAAGGCAGATCTTGCAGGGATTTTCTGAGTGGATGAGTATAAGTCTACATCTAATTGTGTATTTGTATGTGCAGTCTCCAATTTAAATTCTGCACTAAGTGCTAGGAAAAAAAGAGAGCCTGTTTTAAAGCTTATTTCAAGCTGTTAGACCTTCTTCTGGGCAATTAGAATAATAAAATGCGATTTAATACCTTTCTCCTTCCAAGTTGCTAGGTACATTTATAAGCCACATGGCTATCCCTGACTGGGGGAAAAAATAAACTTGTGACAGCAATGGTGAGAATATCAAAAAATGTTAATATTTAGAAAGAAGTAAATTATGATAATATTCTTCCTGAGATCCATTTAGGAAAACCAATGGATTTTTCTGTTTGTGACCTCCTGGAGAAAGGACAGTAACGCTCAGTAGGATAAGGTAGAATTGCTTTGTTGGTAACATTTTTAGGACTTTGTAGAGGAAAAAATCTGTGGTTTTGACAGAGAGGTAGTAAGTCCTGAAAGAAGTCTAATAGACCCAATTAAGAGAGACCAGACCACAAATATTGAAGAAGACAGTGGAGTCTTACACAGTCTTACACAGCTAAGGCTAACTAGGGGGTCTAGCAGCAGATTTATGCAACCAGTAGCAGCTTCATGTTTGCCAAGGACTCAAGTCCCTAAAAAGATATGAAGACTGCAAATAAGGCATCTTATAAACCCAAAGTTTTCAGAGAGCTATGGGAAAATATCTTCCAGCTGGCTTCCCAGCTTCTGGGGATAAATTTAGAGATGGGTTTACAGAGCCTAGAACTAGAGTTTCCAAAAAGAGAAAACCTCAGGCTTAATTGTTGCCTCAGCTGGTGAACTGCCTAACCTACAGGTAAGTATTAGTTCAAAAAAGATAATCACGCCAGGGGAAGATGATCATGCCATTGTTCATACATGTGCAGGACAAGTGTTACTGAGTGTCTTGGCTTGCACACCTCCAGAAGCAAGCTCTGTGGCATGGGACTGAGTGTTAAATAGTAGTTTATGTGGGAAGTGATCTTGGGGAATTCAGGTAGGTGGGTGGAGAAATGAGACAAGGAAGGGGGTGTTATCAAGCTAGTTACCATTGTGGGTAGCTGGTGCAGGATCCCATTGAGGAACTCCAGGACAGAGCAAAGAGCATGACTGGAGTATTCTATGACTGAGGGCCAAGAGACATAGATTATTTATCCATTTCCCCATCAGTCGTTGGTTGAGGGCTGCTTTTGGGGGCATTAGCCATTCCACATTTGAGCTTCTCTGGTGATTGGGTTCCTGCATCTAGAAGAAAAGCTTGTAGGCAGAGAGCTGCAGATGTGGCAATAAAGATCACCTGCTGTGCTGATGATCACTGACACCTCTAAGCGAGTGGGACAGTTGTTATTTTCATGGTTGACTTAGAAGTTTGTCTAACATCCATTAGGAGATGCTACTCTCCTTATATAATTAGGATTTGGTCTTTTCAGGTCTTTTCTGGCCTCAGATGCTGTAAATCCAGGTGTAAAAGGCCAGATAAGGAAAAGACAGGGCCTCAAATGTAGATGACCTTGGAGATAGCTAAATGAAAAAGTTCTGATGGCAGGGATGGGGTGTTCGTGTGTGTGTGTGTGTGTGTGTGTGTGTGTGTGTGTGTGTGTGAGAGAGAGAGAGAGAGAGAGAGAGAGAGCAAGAGAGTGAGAGAGTGCATGTATTTAATTCTGCTCAATAAATGCTCTTGAATGACTAGTGGAAGAATTTTCCATTATTGTTCCTGCCTAAGGAAGCAGAGGTGGAAGTTGAGGGAGCAGAGGTGGGTAGTAGCTGCTGAATCCCTTACGCGGTTGCTACTCATCATTGCCTCCTCCACACAGAGTTGGTTCTCCTGCAAGGTCTTCCCCTGTCTCTTGCAGACATCATGCAGATTTTTGATGTCAACTTGCAGGCTCAAGAGCTTGCTGTTCAGGCCGCTCACTTCTCGGTCTCTCTCCCCCACCTAGGCAGTCAGAAAAAACACGAGCATTAATTATAAACTATCAAGAAAATGCTTACTTTCGTTCACTTAACTGGTTGACAGAGACTTTAAATTTGCTGGAAATTTGTCCATCAACTCTTAGCTGTTATTACTCATCCAGTGTAACATTTACACAGTATCCATTTGCGAGGTGTCTGAGTGCTCTGCATTATTCAGACAATTACTTATTTACATTAATTAATCTTCACCCACTGCTGTGGGTACATCACAGACACTTCCTCTGTTTTTCAAGAGGAAGTCAGTGCCTAGAATAATTCCAGGCACCTCGCAGACTGTCTATAAATATTAATGGTTCTGCCACTGATGAAATGAACATAGTGAGATGTCAAATGAACTTGTCAGGACTATAGTGAATCAGTGATGGAGTTGATGTGGATTCTGAAGTGTTTTAACTTTCTCTTCTACCCACTAATCCAACAGACGTCCTTCACCTGTAAACTGAGTGCTTTTCTGTGGAGACATACACCAATGAGAATAAAAGTAAAATCCCTGGGCTGGCTGCATAAAATAATCTGTCTTTGATTACGAGTGAAAAAGATTAGCTAATTACAGCTAGGTCAGAATGGAAATTAATGATAGAGATCAAAATAAAGTGTGCGGAGCCTAGTAACTTGGGTGGAGTTGGGGGTGTAGAGCTGTGGTAAGAAAGTGTGTGCTCCATCACACTAGGATGCCACCGTCCACTCTCACTGTTGTGGGTGGCAACAGTATAGAAAGAAATTAGGAAGAAGCCCTTTGTGAACCTATCCAGTGCTTTAGTCCTGTCACCGTGCAGACTTTTCATAACACTCAAGAGGATAGGCACTACCACTTCTGAGTTTTAGATGTTGGAACTGAGTCTGGTACTTTTATGGTACATGATTATCCAAAGCAGGCTCTTAGGCAAGGATTCCCAGTATCTATTAAAGAAACACTCCCAAGAGAAATCAACCAGGAAGTGAAGGAAGCAAGACAGGAAAAGAAGAAGAAACCAAGGAAGGGCACTATTTCAGACAAAGTTCTCAAGGCAGTAGCTTTTGCCTGATCCCACAGGGAACTCTGGAGTGTAAGTTACACCTCGGGAGTTTGTCCTGATTAGTTGCAAAAGCTGGGCTGTTAGACTCATTATCAGCCAGTCAATGGCTAAGGGCTGCCCCATGGGATATAATCTCCCAAGGACTTCCAGCTCTCTGCTCTTATGAGCAAAGTGACCCCAATAGCCCAAGGGCAATTCTTCTAAGAGCGTTTCAGGTACAAAAGCATACAGAAGCCATGGGTGCACAAAAATGGTAAAGTGATCCAAACGACAGTGCCCAGGGTCTCATAGCTGGTTGGCAGCAGAATGAGGAGAGGTCTGCTCTCCTGACCTTGTAGCCAGTGATCTGCCACCATACCCCATTGATTGCTCTGGCTTCTTAAATACATGAGCTACATAACACTCATCCCCAGGGGAGCTGGAGACCTGATATGGACATCATAAATCAAGCCTTACTGGACAGGTCAGTTTAAGAGACCTCTGCACAAGGCCGAGGGGGGCCAGAGGATAACCATGAGAATCGGACACCGCAATGTCAGAGTATTCGGAATTCAGAAGGTTTCCCAGAAGTGCTGCTGTCTCAGCTGATTTATTTCTTCATTTCCATTTAGTACCTGGATTTTTTTTTTTTTTTTACCACTTTACAGTTTAATTAGGTTAACGGCATGGCTCTGTCATTAAAAGGATTTCATTATCTCAAAACTCTCTCTCTTCCTCTCTTGCTCCTGTCCCTCGTTCCTCACTTTCAGAAAAATAACAGTGGATGTCAACTGCCCCAAGCATGTAATTACCATTACAACAATTTACCAGGGACTCTCTTAAGAGAATGTGTGCAGAGCAGTTAAAAAAAAAAATGGTGTATGGACACTGTTTTCTAACTAGAAAAAATCCTTGACTCGACCTGGAGCAGAAGTTTGATTTCAGTTCTTTAAATTCCTTTTCGCATTGCTGCCACACTGGGAATAGGGAATAGAGGCTCTCTGGGTATTGAGACCCTAGGGATCTTCTCCCCCTGTTGCCACCGGACTCTTTCTTTGGCATCTATGAGCAGATTAGGCGACAATACAATGCCTGCTTTATAGAGTGTCACGTGCCCCATACTCTTGCTTTAATGCTGAATATATGCATCTTAAGGTGAGGACCATGTCACCGGATTGTTCCATATGGAGCCTGGCACACTGTGGACTCATTAACAAAGTAGCAGTGATATACAACTTGAGCTTCTCCAACTTAAAAGCTAAATGCCTTCTCTTTGTCAGGCCAATAAAAAACCCCTCTCCCTCTACTTTTAGATGTCTTCTGAGCAGAAGACCTGCTTGCCACCATTCTAATGCACCAACAGGACTTCAGAATTGGATCTTTAATGTAGATGATCTCATCTAATTTGGACATTAGCTTTGACTCAGAGTGTCTGAGGCAATTTCTTCATTCAGAAAACAAGAGGTTTGTAATAAATAATTCTTAGAGGATTCTGCAAACCAACTGAATAACAAATGTGTTTTGTTGGATGTCAAATGAAATTTGCTTTTGAAATCAAAACTAGGGGCGTCTGTGTGGCTCATTCAGTTGAATGTCTGACTCTTAGTTTCAGCTCAAGTCATGATCCTAGGGTCATGGGATTGAGCCTCAAGTCGGGCTCCGTACTGAGTGTGGAGCCTGCTTAATTCTCTCTCTCCTTCTCTCTCTCTCTCAAGTTAGGCTCTGTACTGAGCGTGGAGCCTGTTTAATTCTTTCTCTTTCCCTCTCTCCCTCCCTCTGCCCTTCTCCTCCACTCACTCTCTCTAAAATTAAAAAAACCCCAAAAAACCAAACAAAGAAACCCCTAACCATTCACTCTGAAAGTCAAAATCATACAGGGGTTTTTATTCATCAGAACAGGCGTGGAAATGCTAGGAGAGCAACGAGCTGACTCCCATGAACAACAAAAGATTTTTACTGTAGGCAGTTGTAAGAAGAGGATGTGCTCACCTCAGAACTCCAGAAATGCAAGTGTTTCTGAGGTTCCAGGAAACTTAATTTCTTGCTAATATCTTGCACAGAGGTCAGTGTACACTATTTCTAATCCTATCTACTTTATGAAGACTAAATTCCAGGCAGATGCCTTTTGAGTATCAATATGTGGCAGGAATTGATTTAATCTGACATTTCATCAATCAAAGCTCTGTAACCAGTACTGGGGCATGAGAGGAACTGAGAGTCATAATGCTGACCTGCAGGCACCATCTGATCCTGCCCTAGATCTGAAGTCATTAACGATGGCTGAAATCACAAGGCTCTGCTGCTGGGTGAGTTTTCACTCACAAGCCATGCATTTATATACCCTGGTTTTACTTATACGAGGTTGGAACCTGGTCACCATTTGAAGGCATATGACATCAGCAGCAGCTACCAACCACAGGCAAAATGGTGAGGGCTGATACTGCAGTTGCAATGCTGATAGTTATTGGAAAACAGATTATTTACTGAAGCAAATCTTCTGTATTGATTAAATGGGTCTTTTTCAAAGAGCATGTCTTCTCGAACATACATTTCAAAAGCTCGGAAGAAATTTTGCTCTAGACTTCAAAGTACTGACAAATGGTTTCATGCTTCTTTTTGGGGGAAGCTGATGTGAAACTGAAGCCTGTGATTCAGAAGTAGTCTCAGAAGTCAAGAGCATTACAAAGATTTAAGATGGCAGCATTCTATGAAGGATTTGGCACTCAAACAAGAAACCTCGGGTGGTGGATTCCAGAGTAATTTTGGAGTCAACCAACGATACCATAAAGGTCATCATCTTTGGGAAATTATGTTTTTTATCTGAGGATAAACACAAATATTTAACAAACAATGGAAACCATGACTACCATTCAATATGTATAAATTTCTAGTGAGAATTATGTTTTAAAATTATCATTGTTTCAGGAATGAAGCATTTTACTATGTAATAGTAGAGTTTACATTCATATACAGTAATTTCAAGCACTGTTATCAATCTTACTAACTTTATTCCTGAGTTTACATTTCCCTCAATAGAAACATTGCAGATTTTGATTACTTATAATGGGAATTAATGGGCACTTATACAAAGTTTTGCCTGTGAGCAAAAATTTTGGAACCAATTTTATTCATCTAGTGAAGAATGAGTATAATTTTATTGTGTTCTAAGTTCTTTAAAAATTGGCACACTACATAAATATATGGTTTAGGATACACATGGCATATGACAGAGGTTACCCACCTATGGAATATGGGCTGATTTTTATGGCACTTGGGCCATTGCTACATACTTTTCTCCATCATGCCCTTGGACAAATTATTTCACTAGAGAGAGTGAAATCTTCACTTGTGGAGAGTAAGCTCCACAAGAACAAGGATATTTCTCTATTTTGTTCCCTGCTTTATGCTCACCCCCTAGAACTATGCCTGGCACATCTAAGGCAGGCCAAGGATATAAGTTGAATGAAGAAATGCCCCTCTAGAAAATCCATGCCAGATCCTTGTTCCCTGAAGAATATGCGGCAATTCTGTACAGCTTCCTGCAGTAATGCAGCAGGAAAGTGTTCATTAGAAGAAGGTCTGTTAAAAGCATAAGTCATGTGGGACAATCCTATGCTAACCTAAACATCTGCCTTAAAAGCTTTCTGGAACAAGTGAAGGAATAGGTAAACACAGTTTGGCCAAAATATTAGACTAATTAGAACACTCCATTTCCATACCATTCCAGATAAAGAACAATGTTGGCAACAATAGTTAAGATCTATTAAACACTTCTTATGTCCTGAGCACTGGTGTTTTACACACAGTATCTTACTCAATCCTCACAGCAAGCCTTTGAAAAGGGTACTAATTATTCATATTTCCTAAGTAAGGGGAAGGAAGCTCAGAGAGGGTAAGTAACATGCCCAATATTATAGTGCTATCAGATGTGGACCACGACCCACTTTGTTCAAGTCTGGGCTCTTAAATGCTATGGTCTGCTGCCTACATCTCTGTGATATTTTGGGATGCTTATTACTGGAGTTTGAAGTTAATTGTAACAAAGGTTCGACTCCATGTGTGTAGAAGAGTTAGGAGACTTACCTCATCTTTCATTTCCTTGGCACCTCTCAATTCTTCTTTAAGCTTTAGCATTTTCTGAGCTTTGTTATAAACCTGCAAAAGTCCAAGAATTTAAGATGGCAAAAATCGAAATAAGCCTGGCCCTTTAAAGGTTTTCCCATCTGGATGTGTGCTCTCAGCAGGGAGCCTGGAAAAATTTCCCCGAACTGTTAGCAATACCTACTTGTCTGCCCATCTGTGTTTTCAAAAGCGTGTTAAAACCTTTACCAGAAAGACAGGACCAAGGATTTACAGGTTTCCCCCAAAACCAACACTTGGTGGGCCAAAGAGTTTCTGAATTCATAGTTTCTTGGAAAGCAAAATATTGAGAGCTTACTTTCTAGATTTCTCACTATTCAATGGCTCAAATATAGTTAACATTATGCACTAATTATGAACCAGACAGAATGTGCACAACCCAACTTCATTCTCAGGATAACCCCACTATCCTTGTTTTACAGAGGAGGAAACTGAAGTCCAGAGAGGCTAAGTGACTTACCCAAGGTCACACAGGCTGTCTTACTATTCCATGAGGAGCTGTCATTAACTTATAACTATTAATTTGGAGATATCTGATGATGTGGTTTTTTCAAAGCATCAAGTTACTGTATGTTGGTGCTTATAAAGTTATGTAGAAACTCATAGAGTGCTGAGAATTATCTATATAAAAAGCCTCAAAGAAAACCAAAGATTTTTGCACATGTGTGTGCATAACTACAGGATAATGTGTTTGAGGTCATAACGAACTGACTTATTAAAATAATCCAATTTATCATGTTTTTCATTCTAAGACTAAAGGAGATTTCTGCCAGGCACTTACCTGCAGAATAGTTCCAAGAATGAGAAGCTATCAAAATACTCATTCTTTGTAATGAACCACATCCCCCACCCCTAATATAAGCCAAGAGGAAGAAAGAATGCTGGTGAGACATGGAATTTGGAATGTTTTATGGGGTTGTATTCTGATATGCTGCATTGTTTACCCTCTTTAGTCTTCGTGCACAGAGGTGCATCATGGGAGTGGGGGTGTAGCTCAGGCTACCCCAGTAGGGAGAGGCCAGGTGATGCTGCAGTGACAGACAGCCCCCATATTTCAGTGACTTAAAACCATGAAAGTTTACTTCTCACTGTGCTACATGCCCTTTATGAGTCAGCTGGGGCTGTTCATCATTGTCCTCAGCTGGTAGAACCTCTGTCATCTAGTATGTTGCCTGTTGCCATGGCAGCAGAGGGGTAACATACAGGGTCTTAGAGTGGAAGTGACACACTTCACTTCGGCTCACATTTCATTGGCCAAAACAAGTCACGTGGTCATGCCTAACATCTTCCTTTATCCCCTAAAGGAAGTATTGGTGACCATCACAAATGATGTCCACACTAGGTGTCTCAGCCAGATGGACTGCTGTAACAAAGTATCACAAACAGGGTAGCTTATAAACAACAGAAATTTCTCACAGTTCTGGAGGCTGAGAGATCCTTGACCAAGTCCCCAGCAAGTTAGGTGTTTGGTGATGACCTTCTTCAGAGACAGCTATGTGTGTGTGTGTGTGTGTGTGTGTGTGTGTGTGTGTGTGTTTCCTGTAACTTTACATGGCTAAAAGGGCAAGGGACCTATGTGGAGTCTCTTTTAGAAGAAAACTAATCCATCTCATGACCTAATCACATCCCAAAGTCCCCACTTCCTAATACCATCATTTTGGGAATTAGAATTTCAACACATGAGTTGGGGGGGGACATAAACATTTAAACTAGAAGATTAAAAGTAATGTGGCATAAAAACACTAAACAAGGCTCTGGGCCACCAAGCTTCTAAACCTAGTTTAGCACCCATGTCAAGGAATGGCCTTTGGAATGAAAGGCACTCATCTATCTGAGGCTTTGTTTCTGGCTCTATCAACTGAGGTTGGGGGGTTGAATTAAATGACCATTGTCTCTAAGGTTTACTGATTCAATGTTCTACCATGATGCACATGTTTCTTTAGTATAACCAGCCTAAGCATCACACAAAAGTTGGAATGGAACAAATATATCCTGGAGAATAGTATTCCTCCAAAGGCAGGGGTGTCTGGGTGGTTCAGTTGGTTAAGTGTCCAACTCTTCATTTCAGCTCAGGTCATGATGTCACGGTTCACAAGATCAAGCCCTGCATCGGGCTCTGCGCTGCCAGCATGGAGCATGCTTGGGATTCTCTCTCTCCCTCTCTCTGCCCCTCCCCTGCTCTCTCTCTCTCTCTCTCTCAAAATAAATACATAAATATTAAAAAAAATATTCCTCTACAGGCAGACCTGCAGGATAGTCTGGAGATGACTCTTAAATCAAATAAAATCTTATCCCAAGGACAGAAACGACTGTCTAGATTGTGATGGTTTTGTCAACTATGGAGTTACACAACTAGCTGCAAGGGCCAAGAATGTTTGGAAGGAGAAGTGTAAGGCATAGGGCCTCATATTTACATGAAAAGATATTGGACTTCACTAAGTAAAGTAAGTTAGAAGAAAAGAAAGAGAGAACTAAGTTGTGTGTCTCCATGAAGGAGACATGGGAATCCTGTGAGTCATTAACAACAGCAGTGGGGAATTTGGAATTGCTTATGGTGAAAAAAATGGAAGGGTTATATGATAAATTTTCAGTGCATTTGACAGTAATGTTTGCCAGATGGGTAAGGAAGAGTGCTTTGAAGGAGCCTCAAATGCTTTATAAAATGATCATGTGGAACCTTCACAGTGCTCTCTGAGGAGTGTGGCTGGACCAATATTTTGTAGAGGACAGAACTCATAATGGAGGGAGGGCTCCCTACCTGATCTGTGGGTACAGATCTCTGGGCCAAGGACTTGAATGTCTTCTCTCTTTTCAAAGCCTCATTCTATGTCTTCTGTGTCTCTTTTGAAATCGCCACTTCTTCATGCCTCATCTCTTCCACTGGCACATCCAATTCTGCTGCATCTGCCCAGGGAATTGCTTTCTTGTATTCAAAAGTCCTGCCCTCTTCCCCCCTGCCCCAGCAGGCCTTCTCTTTATGACGGCTATGACCAGAAAAACAAACAAACAAACAAACAAACAAATAAACAATTTTAGTGAAACAAGAAACTCAGTCAGAATATCCAGTGGTGTTTTGTGCTTCCTGGTTGGCCTCAGCTCACACTCAGAGCACCTTCCAGATTCTCAAGAAACACCTAGCACTGTACCTCACATGAGTCACTAGTTTAGCACGTATGAACTCAGATGTGTAAAGAAAAAGTAACTTTTTTTATTACTCAACATGGTTACTGAGCCTCATTCCAACAAATGGCAGAAACAGCATCTTAGTTATTTCTGAGAAAGTGCCATCATTGTCAGGTTAAAAATAAATCAGTTCACATCTCCCTCCACCTCTTTACCTCCTCTTCAGAGTACACCTAAATTCTGGGGTCCTAGGTTGGAGTCTGGCATCAGAGGTGGCTCTGGTCCATGGTCATGGACATCTCTCCCAGATTCAGTGTGCTAACAGTGTCCTGGTCAACAGGCTGGATTTATTGAATCTTCCTTATACTGTGGGCTTTGGGGCTGCTGGCCCTGTTTCATTTTCCAAGGATGTTCCTAATGCATAGAGAAAGACAGACAGACAGACACACACACACACACACACACACACACACACACACACACACACGAGATTGGTCTCAGGATTTCTCTTATTAGACCTTGTCCTAACATCATTCTACATTTTGTCTGGAAAGGTGTTAAGATGAAGGGGATAGGATCCGAAGGTTTTGCTCACTTTTCTGCCTCCCATTCCTGGTATTGATCAAAAGTCTCTTTGGCCCCTGCTTTGCTAAACCTATCTGGGGTTCTATTGTTTCCCCAGCTCTTTCCCATCTCATCAATCTCACCAGAGTCTAATTCTCTTGCTTATGCTCAAATTCCCCTTTCCTTCCTCTTTCCTAATTCAGAGAGGCTTTGTTTTGTTTTTGGGAGAGGAAGGAAAAAGAGTACAAGTGAATGAGTTCAATGAAATACAGGTTGAGCAAGCAGGATGGGAAACATATGTTAGTATTTCATACACCATCTACCCTCATGAGGTTACACAAATGCCATAACCACAGATTGCTGATGCTGGCTTTCTCCCCAAGGAACTAGTACTCCCTGGGTATATGGATGGACTACAAGCCTTAGAAAACCAAACTTCCAGTTATAAGGTAAATAAGAATGGGGGATGTAATATACAACATGATGACTATAGTTAACATTGCTGTATGGTCTATTTGAAAGTTGAGAGTAAATCCTAAGAGTTTTCATTACAAGGAAAAAAATCTTTTTTTTTTTTTTAGATGATCTTAACTAATCATGGTAATCACTTCACAACATATGTAAATCAAGTCATTATGCTTTATACATTAAGCTTATAGAGTGCTGTGTGTCAGGAAGAAAATGAGTTTTAAAAATAAAGTTAAAGTTATCCTTGGGGGTTAATCAAAACGAGTATATTTACCTGCACTCAGTCATAAGTCTTTCCTTTATTCTTGCTGGGTTTTATATTTTTCTCCAATGTTCCACCTCCTACTAATGTAAAAGGTGTGATGAATCCTAGGGCTCTTAATTATTGAAATAATGAGATGATGTTCAATATTTCATCTATTTTTTAAAAATGTTTTTAAAAATGTTTATTTATTTTTGAGAGAGAGAGAGAGACAGAGAGACAGAGAGAGAGAGAGAGAGAGAGAGAGAGAGAGAGACCGAGCATGAGCAGGGGAGGGGGAGAGTGAGAGGAGACACAGAATCTGAAGCAGGCTCCAGGCTCTGAGCTGTCAGCACAGAGCCTGAAGCAGGGCTCAAACTCACAAACTATGAGATCATGACCTGAGCCAAAGTCTGATGCTTAACCAACTGAGCCACCCAGGCACCCCAATATTTCCTCTATTTTCAAAAAAATATGTGAGCACCATGAATTGGTAGGAATGTTCCTTGTACAATCAATTATTTCTACCCAGAATGTATGGATGGAGCCATAGCTTGCAGAGGCTTGGCATGAACAGAGTTTGCCTATTTGGATACAAAGAGAAAAATCCCTGACCATGTAAGGGCATATCTGATAGGGGAAGATGGCAGGAAGAGATGATGCTGGAGATGGTTTTGCCAGGGTTTCAGGTTCTGCACCATAACTTAGTGAGTAGGGACCTGACACCAATGTCACAAATTGAGTTATAGTCCAACCCCAGGACCAAGGCTTTCCTGGAGAGGAAACATGGTTAGTTGGGTCTTCCCAGAAGGAGACTTTGTAATGGCAGAAGAAATGAGGGTCCAGGTGGAACAAGAGAAGGTGTTCCAGGATTTATCAGTCTCACTGTCACAGGTGAAATTCTCTTCCCATGGGTCTCTTCTTTGGTACTTAAAAAAAAATGTTTATTTATTGTGTGAGAGAGAGAGAGCACACGGAAGCAGGGGAGGGGCACAGAGAGAGAAAGAGGGAGAAAGAGGGAGACAGATAATCCCAAGCAGGCTCTGTACTGTCAGCACAGAGCCCCACAAGGGGCTCAAGCCCATGAACTGTGATATCATGACCCAAGCCAAAACTAAGAGTCAGATGCTTAACCAACTAAACCATCCAGGAGCCCCCGTTTTTTCAATTAAAACATTTTTTCTTTTAATTTTAAAGAGAGAGAGTGCAAGAAGGGGAGGGGGCAGAGGGCAAGAGAGAATCTTAAGCTTATGTTCAGTGTGGAGACTCACATGGGGCTTGATCCCACGCCCCTTTGATCATGACCTGAGTCAAAATCAAGAGTCAGATGTTCAACCGACTGAGCCATCCAGGTGTCCCTTCTTTGGTACTTTTCACAGAGGCTATCAATTGCCTATTCCAATATTCATACTTCTTCTTTTCCTCAGTAACAGAACCCTAATTTTGTTGGGTGTCTATGTGCTCATCTAAAAGTCTATGAAATGAACAAAGGGAAAAAAAGAGACAAACCAAAAAACAGACTCTTAACAATACAGCACAAACAGATGGTTACCAGGGAAGGCAGGCGGGAGGATGGGTGAAACAGATGAAAGGACATTAAAAGTGCACTTATCTTGGGGTGCCTGGGTGGCTCAGTTGGTTGAGTGTCTGACTTTGGCCCAGGTCAAGATCTCAAAGTGCGTGGGTTTGAGGCCCGCATCAGGCTTGCTGCTTTCAGTGGGTCCGCTCAGCCTGTCAGCTTTGGATCCTCCTTCCCCCTCTCTCTCTGCCCCTTCCCCATTTGTGCTGTCTCTGTCTCAAAACATAAATAAAACATTAAAAAAAAAAAAAGGAGTGCACTTAACTTGATGACTGCGTAATATATGGAATTATTGAATCAGTATATTGTACGTCTGAAACTAATATGACACTGTATGTTAACTACACTTAAAATAAAAATAAATAAAAGACTACCTACCCCAGACTCTCTTGGAGCTAGGTCTGGCTGCATGTCTAAGTTTTAGTCACTGAGATGTAAGAGGAAATACTGTGGGAAGCTTCCAGAAACTCTTCTTCTTCTTTTTTTAAAAGTTCTTATTTTTTATTTTTGAGGGAGAGACAGAGAGATCAGGGGTGGGGCAGAGAGAGGGACACACAGAGACTCCCGAGCATGTGGGGCCTGAACCCACGAACCGTGAGATCATGACCTGAGCTGAAACCAAGAGCCAGACGCTGAACCGACTGAGCCACCCGGGCACCCCCAGAAACTCTTCTTAATTAGTAGTACTGCCCAGCTCTTTGCCCCCTCCTCCCTCCTGATTTAACCCAGCAGCCATTTGGAACATGAGGAAATGGTCACAGAGACAGAACATAAAGTGCCTAAGCCCCTGAATGGTGTGAAACCACCATACTAGGCCTGGACAGAGAGTACAATTTCTTTCTTAAGTCACTTTGGACTTTTTCATTTCATTCAGTGGAATCTAATGCAATTAAGTGGACAAAGTATCCTTATTTATGATCCTCTCAGAGATACCTTTCTACAACTCACTCCCCATTTTTAGCACCTCCAAAAGTTGCTTCTACTGTATAGTTTGGAACCCCCATTTCATTATGGACCAACTTTTATCCACAGATGCTTCTTCCTTTCCTTGATAGTGGTTTTCTTGACTCGGTTTTCTCTTGATATATCAGCTCTTTGTTTTCACTGTTTTTTTTTTTTTTTAAGTTTATTTATTTTTAGAGGGGTGGGGGAGGGGCAGAGAGGGAGGGAGCCCAACACAGGGCTCCATCTCATGACTGTGAAATTATGACCTGAGATGAAACCAAGAGTTGGCCATTTAACCAACTGAGCCATGCAGGTAACCCTGCCTTCACTCATTCTTTTTTTCCTCTTGATGTATGGAGTAGGGGGATCCAGAGTGGGGAAGAGAGTGACATACTCTATTCTCCTACTGACACCAGTAGTATTTCCACACCATTTAGTAAAATTTCCTCTTTTGAAGTACACACTCTTCTAATCTTGGTTGCCATTATGATTGACTGACATGGCAAAAACTCTCCCACCTGATTGCTTAGTATCTTTATTTATAAATGAGAAATCTTCTTTCTGCTTGTCCAAAAATCACACACCTTCAAGCCCCAACTCAACTGCCATTTCTGTCATCTTCCCTCCAGCCACATGTAATATTAACATTTGTATGCCAACTGCTATATGTCACGTGTAGGCACTGTTATAAACATAAAATAACAGAGTTAATCCTACAGCAGCCTTGCCAGGTAGGTAACCCCTCATACTCTTAAAGAACTTTATCTGTACTTCTTTTAACACAACACAACCTGCCTTTATTATGGTTATTTGTGATTTGCCTTGTCTCTCCACAAGAGTGGCTGTGGTCTACTCTGGTGAAAGATGAGGAACGTAGGACCTTTATGAAATAATTATAGATTTCCAGAAAGTTGCAAAAATAGTTGACAGAGTTCCTATGTATCCTTTCTCTGGCTTCCCAATGTTAGTATCTTACAGAATGTCAATATGCCTTATTACTCATGATGTCAACCTTGGTCATTTGGTTATGCTGGTGTCTACCGAGTTCATCCACTATACATTTATACTATGTTCCCCATTATAATTAATAACTTTTTAAGATGGGGGAGATACTTTGAGAGTACATAAATATCCTGTTTTTTTTTTTCCTGAAACTCTCACCCACTATTTTTAGCAAGGCTGATCTTGCTTGCAACGATTATTGCTATAGTGTTGTAATAGGGATTTTATATTTCCTTTATTCCTTCTACATTTACTCATCAGAATTCCCCTCTCCCCCATTTAATTATTTATTTATTTACATGCATATAAACTCATGGCTATATATTTTATTTCATGGGTTATGATCTACTATTATTATTTATTTTGTTGCTCAAATGGTCCAACTTTGGCCATTGGGAGCTCTTTCTTTTAAAAAAATAAAAAAAAAATCTTTATTTATTTTTGAGAGAGAGCGTGTGAGCAGGGAGAAGCAGAGAGAGAGGGAGATACAGAATCCAAAGCAGGTTCCAGGCTCTGAGCTGTCAGCACAGAGCCTGATGTGGGGCTCAAACTCACAAACTGTGAGATCACGACCTGAGCCACAGTCGGACGCTTAACTGACTGAGCCACCCGGGAGCCCTGGGAGCTCTTTCAATTTGGTTCCCGTGTGCTTTCAACAAATCCCTGTCCTTTCTTGAGTACTTCCTTGCTTTTTGGCATCACACACCGCTCCAGGCTCATCTTGTATTTTCCTTGCCCCAGCCACTTCTCTATGGAGTCAGGCTTCCTATTTTGACTCAAGTTCTATGACCTTGGGCAAATTAACATCTCTGAGTCTCAGTTTTCTCACTTGAGAAAAACTGGAGTAATAGTATCTCCCTTGCAGGGTTGTGATGAGGATTAAAGAAATCACATGTATAAAACAGGGGTAAGGTTAAAAAATTTTTAATGGTTTTTTTTCCCTTTACCCTCTTTAGCATAGATTCTGCTTTTTGAGTTGCCCCAGGCTGTCTTCTTCCTGGTACTGTGGAATAAGATTCTTGCCTTGAGAAAGGATTTTCTAAATTCCTTTACCTACTCTCCCCATGTTACCCCACTTGCCTCTTCCCAGAATTTCAAAGCATTCAATGAAAAAGCCAAGGCCTTTTGGAGGCGATATTTTCAACTGGCATTTGCTTCAGATGCCTGCTCTCCAGCAGGAGAGGGGTTAAATACTTTGGGATAACTTCCACACCGAACTGCCTAGTCTCTTAGGTTCAGCTCAGCAATCAAACTGCATAACCTAATAGAGCCCCTGGTGCTACGGGAAACACAAGACACTGATTTATATTTTAATATCAGTAATTTCCACAAGAGCAACATTTCTGAGTGTCATTTTACAATTTCTGTCAAATGCCAGCTCAGTTTTTCTTAATTCTGTTTATTGTGACTGAATTTGCAACCTCATCCACAATGCAGATTCTTGGCTCCCAGGAGAGAAGAGCATTTCCATGTTTCTCTGGAATGGGAGGGATGGGGATAGGAGCAGAAAGGGGCCTATAAAATAATTGGAAATGTAAATGAAGCACTGTTTATTAAGAATGGTTATGAAGTATTTTTAGTTAAAAAGAAATGAGGTGTGTGTGGAGAAACAGTACCCAACAAACTGTAAAAATGACCAGCAAAAGAGGTGCTTGAGATCCAAACTGG